GTGACTTTTCTGTAATGACGTTGCTTTGCTTTTGGGGAGGGGAGGCCAGAGCTCACGGGAGGAAGCATGAACTTCAGAAGAAGAGAACGTGAGCATTTTCAAGTTTGGAGGGCTTTCCTCCTTCTCTTTGATAAAGTCTCAAATCCACTGAAGCCGCTGGATCTGGCCCTGCCCAGACGTTGGGGGCTGGTGCGGCTGGCATCAAGCTGGTGGAGCCCTACAGGAGCCAGCCCACCCGACCTGGGCTGGTTGGATAAGCAGCCCCCCCCCCGGCAGGCAGCTGAGCCTGGTCCTTGGGGGGGTCTAATGAAGGTGGAACAGTTGTGGTGGTGCAGCCTTTCCCTGGGATCACTTCAATGAGTTGGTAGGAAGGTGGGCGATGTCCACCGGAAGGCTTTTTATCTGTAACGGTGTTTAAAATGCTGTTTTCGTTTCCTGTGGCTCCCACAGCTAAGTATCGCCAACTGAGGGGCTTAGAAAACACAACAAAACTGTATTCTCTCACAGCTCTTGAGGCTCGGAGAAAGAAATCGAGGTGTTGGCAGGGCTGTGCTCCCTCTGAAGGCTGTAGGGGAGGATCCTTCCTGCCTCTTCCAGCTTCTGGAGCTCCAGGCTATCTTGGGCTTGTGGACACATCACCCCAGTCTCTGCCTCCTTTCTTACATTGCCTTCTTTCTGTGTCTCTTGTGTCCTCTTATAAGGACACTCCAGTCACTGCGTTAGGGCCCACCCTAATGGCCTCATCTTAACTTGATTACATCTGCAAAGACCCTATTTCCAAATGTCAAGTGCACAGGTGCCAGGAGTCAGCGTTGAACCTCTCTCTTGGGGATTGCCATTTGGCCCAAAACACACATTAAGGCAGTGCCCCGGCCGTCGTCCTGGGCTGTGCAGCAGAGAGTGAATGTAGAGGGCAGAGATTCCTGCATAGGACCCCTGGGTCCAAATCCCTGCTCTACTCAGTTCTAGCTGGGCGGCCCTGGCCAAGAGCCTCTGCCTCCATTTCCCCATCTATAAGTTGGGAGCACTTGTAGTACCTGCTTTGCAGGGCTGGGGGGAGAGTTGGAACAACTCTGGATGAATGGTCCGCTTGGTGCAGGTGCTGGCCATTCTGATTACTCCCCACCTCCGCCCTAGTGAGGGGAGGGCACTTGGAGCCTGCGGATACGACTGGGGAAGGGGGTCTTAGAACTGGAGCCCAGGCCTGTCCGTTAGTCCCTGCTCCCCGAGGCTCTCAGAAGTCTGTCCCATGAGCAGCTCAGCCTGCATGGTGCCCTGGTGCATGGTGCATGGTGGGTGACACCTGGTCCCTCATAGGCCCTGGTGCTCAGGATGACCAGGAGCAGCCACCTTGAGGCCACTCTGGGCTGCCCTTTGAGGGGCCAGAAGGACAAACTCCTGGTTCCACCACCTGGTGAAAGCAGGCCCGGCCTGGGATGGTACAGTTCACCTGTCCACACCTGCAGTTGTCCACACTCCCTGGTCTGCCCCTTTGGGGCTTGTATGGATTTGGAAGAAGGCCCCTCTCGGGGGATTGTGAATGATATCAAAGTCCTCCCTGTCCACATTTTCCCTCGTCGGCTCCTGCCTGTCATTTGAGTCCAGCTGGATGACCACCTCCTCTGAGAAGCTTTCCTTGAATACCCTCCCAGCCGCTGCCACAGCCCCCTGCTTTATTTCCATCAAGGCACCCATTGTTGGCTTTCTTGAAGCATGTTTGCTTGATTACATACAAGACTCTCCCCGCCTCCTGCGTCCTGTCCCCGCCCCTACAAGGAAGAGTGTCAGGCAGGCTTCCAGGAGGAAGTGGTGCTCCAGCTGATCCCTGAGAACCAGGAGGAGAGGGTGCTACGTTTTGGGTCAAGAGCACGTGTGGAGGCTGGGAGGCGAGCAGCACAGTGCACTCCAGGACCTACAAATAGCTGAGGGAGGCTCTTGTCCCTCAAGATAGTTTTTGGGAGCCCTGCCTGGAGGGGAGCTGGGGGCAGGTGCCCCTGGCACATGGGCATGTGTTTGCATGTCAGAGATTTGGGTGGGGGCCGGTGATGCCTGGGGCAGGCTGCACTCGGTGTCCTCACCTGCAAGTGGGAGTGCTGGGCAGGGAACCACGCACACAGTGACACCAATGTTGCCGTTCCAGGCACTCCGCCTGGGTCTGACATTTTCCCGGATCTGGGCACTGGGTCTCGGAGTCCCCAGCAGAGCTGGGAACAAAAATCCCACGCTGTTAGCCTCATGTGGAGTGGCTCCTTGGAAACTGCAGGATGTCCTATTGGAGTCTACTACGAAATTAGGCAACATTCCTCACCTGCCTGCACCGTGACTCTATTTTCTGTCCCCAGTATAGCCATGAATGGGTTTATTTAAATGAAGGGTTAAGTCAGATCAAATGTGCTTTTCTGTTAAAGAGAACAAAGGCACAAGAATGGATGTCTGTTGGTTCGCTGTAGCTGCCACAACAAAGCACCATGAATTGGTCGGCTTAAACAAAGAAATGTATTCTCTCCCAGTTCTGGAGGGTTCAAGTCTGAGATTAAGTGTCACAGGGCCGGCTCCCTCCAGAGGCTCTAAGGGAGGCTCCTTCCTGCCTCTTCCAGCTTCTGGGGGCTCCAGATGGTCCTTGGCTTGTGGTTGCAGCCCTCCAGCCTCTGTCTTTGTCATCATGTGGCTTTTTCTCTGTGTCTGTGTCCCTCGTCTTCTTATAAAGATACCAGTCATATTGGATTTAGGGCCCACCCTACTCCAGTGTGACCTCATCTTAACCTAACTGATTACAACCGCAAAGACCCTATTTCCAAATAAGGTCACATCGTGGACTTCCAGGTGGATGTGAGTTTTAGGGGGACACTATTCAACCCATTACAACGTCCATCCTGGAAAAGCCCGCACTCCCCTCGTGCCAGCTCCCCATCCTCTCAGGAGGTGGCCCCTGCAGGGCGGTCTCCCTCTGCCTCCCAGGAGGAAAGCTGTTCCAGGCCCCCCGAGTTTCTGGAGCCTCGACTCTGTGTTAGGGCTGAGGGACTGAGGCCTGGTCCCGTGCTGGGGCAGGGGGGTGGCCTCCCACTGCCACCTCCCACTCAGGGATCTGCTCTCACCCTCCCAGGCCCTGGCACAGTCCCCAGGGACCTGGGGAAAGACACCCACCCCGAGCAGCACCCCCGCTGGTGGCCCAGGGACTGTGGGCTCCCTGTCTCACCACATCAGCTTTAAAAACAGGCTCTCAGCATCTGGGACCTTGTGTCTGAAGGCGTCACCCCACCCTGGACCACAGTCTTGGGGGATCCACTGAGAGGCTTCCCAAAAGCCCCCAAACAAAAGTGGTTTCCATTTCACACTGGCACCCGGGAGGCGGGACCCGGCTCCCATCTGTGCCCTCAAGACGCTTTCATTCTGAATGGCCTCCTCGCCTCTGTCCTAGGCCCTTAGATAAACATCCAGGCTTTGCAGACCCCAGAGCCTCGTATTGGTGTCTCTTCCTCTGCAGACACAATCCTTTCTGGATAGCCCCCTGACAGCAGGAGCGCCAGAACATGGATCTCTGCCGAGCTGGGTCCTTCTCAGGTAGGAGGGTCCCTGCTCTTCATGAGCTAAGGCCCCCTCATGTCCTGGGTTTGAAGTCACAGTCAGTCCCCAGGGTGCACTGCCACCCCCATTCTCCATGCTGTCCACCAGCACCGCAGCAGCTCCGACCATGCCTCTCTGCTACATCCTGTGGCTCCCTACTGCCCACTGTGAGCAGAACACGGGCGGTCAGGGCAGGCATCAGTTTGTGTAAAAGTCCCCAGATGATGTCTGGGGCCGGCCCGGTGGCCAAGTGGTTAAGTTTGGCACACTCCGCTTAGGCGGCCCAGGTTCGGACCTACACCACCAGCTGGCAGCCATGCTGCCGTGGTGACCCACATACAAAATAGAGGAAAGCTGGCACAGATGTTAGCTCAGGGCAAAAGTTCCTCAGCAAAAAAAATAAAACAAAACACAGTCCCTAGATGATGCTCAGTGCAACCAGGGCTGAGCACTGGGATCAGAACTCCCCGGGGGGTGGGGGTGGCAGTCTCCAAGGCCCCTGGCCACCTCGTGGCTTTTGTCTTTGCAGTGTCCTGACCCTGCCTTTGCATGCTCTGGGTTCGTGTGCCCCTGTCAACAGCCCCTCTGCACAGGTCCTCCACCTGGCTTGGTCTTGGGCTCCGAGCAGCTCAGGGGGTTACCCTCCAGGGGCCGCTCTGCCCTTGGTCTCTGCTCCTCGGCTGGACTCAGCCTCGTTGGCCACTCCCACAGACTGGGCTTGGGGGAACGGGCGCCCTGTCCTTCTCCCTCCCACCTAGAGAGCTGTGCCTCATCTCCACGTCACTGAATAATGGCAACTCCTTGGCCTAGGAAGGTCCTGGATAGACGTCATCATCCCCACGCCAAGAGGAGGAAACGGAGACATGGGCTGGATAACTCCCCCCGGCCCCCTGGCTCAGAAATGGCCGGATCACAACCAACCTGGCCCTGGAAGGGACCTTGTCCCTTGCCTTTAGGGGTCACTGCTTGAGGAATAACCCCAGGAGCTGGCAGAAGAGAGGGAGCACCGGGCCCCAGAAGCACCCCAACGTCCCTCCACAGGGCGGTGGCACCCAGATTATGAGGCACTAATAAAGTGGACACGTGGAGAGACAAAGGATGAAACAGATCTCGTAGCACATTGACATGAGAAGATATGCGCGGTATATTCTGTGCAAAGAGAGGGATGCACAATGCGGGGTGCGTTTGGAAACCTCACTCCCTCAGGAGAAAGGAGTCTGGGACACTGTCCCCGAACTGCACAGGCTCTCTCTGAGATGGGCTTCCAGGGACGCTCAGTCCCCATACTGCTCATTTTCTGCAGGATTTGATTTTTAAATAGTGAACCTGTGATATTTTTATAATGAAAACACCTAAGACTTCTCTGTGGGGAGAAGGAGGAAGACAAATCTGGCCCTTAAAGCTGGAAAGACGCTTCACACACACAAAAGACACACTTTTCACATGCAAATTAATATTATACAAGTCACAAAAATTTTCCGCCCCATCTTGTTCCAGAAGAATCTGCCGCAGCTTGTGAGGGTGCACAGGCGGAGAGCAGGGCAGGACAGCAAGGACACTCCTCACCAGGCACGTCCTTCAGCAAAGACAGGAGGATTTCCTGGCGGCATGTTTGAAAGAACATTTGATCGTGAAGTTTCAAACACAGGAGAGCAGAGAGGATAAGCCGAGGAACAGACGCCCATGGCTTAGATGTGACCAGGCACATTGTGCATGATTCGCTTCATCAGTTTTCTTGGCTGGAGGATACTGAATTACAGGCCTCAGGCAACTGCATCCCTAATTAAGGACATTTTGGACACAACTGCCATGATCACACTCAATAATTAACAAAAATTCCTAGTATCCTGCCATACCCCGTCCATACGCAAACTTCCCGAAACGACTTTGTGGCCGGTTTGCTTGAACCAGTCAAGATTCATACAGCAGATGTGGTGGTTTTGTTTCTTGAATCTTCCCTGTCAGGTCTGTGTCCTCTACCTCACCCTTCTCCCCTTGACAGGGATTCCTCAAAGACGTGAGCTCAGGTGTTGTGCGGGTGCCCCATCTTCTGGATGGGTCTGGTTGCTTCTTCCTGGATCCCCTGCCTGTGCCTCCATCCCCAGTACTTCTGTAAACAGGAAGTGAGATGGGTAGCCTCTCCCGTCCACGTGGGGCCCCTGGACCAGCGCATGCGCCTCACCCGGGAGTGGGAGGAAATGCAGAGTCTCCAGCCCCACCCAGATCCGAACCAGAGTTTGTGTTTCAACAAGGCCCAGGGCAGGCGGTGGCTTCATCAATACTGCCTGTAGGTTCTAGTGGAAAGACTTCTCTGGAGGTGAGGCTTGGCTCTCCCCAGCAGGGACACCTTATGCCTGCTTGTCCCTCTCTGGGCCACACTGACAGTGACGGGGAAGGAAGGGGTCACGGGCAGAGCCCGGCATTGTAAGGTGACTTGCACACCTCCCCGGGCCCCCCGTGACCTACAAGCCACCTGCAAGGTGACACTTTGGCACTGTGAAAATACCCAGCTCCCGCCAACGTTCACCAGGGCTCTCTGCAGCCACTGACAGCCCTGGCCTGACTCAGGTGTTTCCTTGGTGGTTGCAGAATGAGGCTGTCTCATCCGACCGTTTCGTCCACTTCCATTGGCTGGCATTTCAGGTGAAGAGCAGCCCTCCCCCTCGGGCTGGGGCCATTTGGTGGCCCTGAAATGCAGTTCCAATGGAAGGGGGAGAAATGCTTAATTGTGCCACTTATAAACAATTAAGTTTGTAGGGTACAGAGCTGACCCCTCTGGTGGTGACAAATGACTATTTCTGGGTTTTCTTTGATGCCTGCATTTCAATTACTCCTTCTTTCCAACACTCAAGTTGTCCCAGACTTGGCCAGTGGAAGCTCCTGAGGCTTTTTATTTTGAAATAATTAGAAATTCCCAAGGTGTGGTAGACACAGGTCCTATGTGCCCCTCACGCAGTCCCGATGGCCACCTCTTGCCTGGTTAGAGCCCAAGATCAGCCCAGGGACCAGCACGTGTGTGTGCGTGCAGTTCTGTCATGTCATCACAGGCGTACATTCCTGCAGTACCACAGCGTCGAGGCCAGAACTGTCACACCACCACAAGACCCCCTCCCGGGGCCCTGCCTCTGCAAGCCCGCCCTAAACCCTGGCAGCCATGAATCTGCTCTCCGTCCCTATATTGTGGCATCTTGAGAATTCATCTAAATGGAATCATATCGTATGGGACCCTTGGAGGTTGGCTTTTCCACTCTGCCCAGTGCTCCTGAGGTCCACCTAGTTGCTGTGTGTGTCACTAGTTTGTCCCGAGTCCTTTGGACATGACTCCACTAGTCTTCAAAAGCTTCCCTTTGGGCACGAGATGGCCCAGGGTCTCCCCATGCTTCTGGTCCAGACCTAGAATGGGTCATTTCTCCCTGGAGAGGGAGGGCATTTAGAGCCTCGAATCTGGCTCTGGGGGTGCTCATGTGACTAGGCTTGTCCCCTCTCAGTCTACAAGCCAGGAAATACCTACTGTTCAAAAATCAAGTGTTGGTCATAATTTGTTCTTTCCAATCGATATTTAACAGTATAGTGACTTTCCTTACCTTCGTGATTTTATACATGTATTTTTCCTTACGTTAAAATCTGGGTTGTTGCCATCGATATACTTATTTGCTTTGTCCCACAATATCGACTTTAAGGATGAGGATGCCAATATTACTACTACTGACAAAACACCTAGATTAAGTGTGACTTCGCTGCACTTTTTTGGCCTTGAACACACCCCACTAAAGATGCATAGCAAGACGGCGAGTCCCCTCCTCAGCTGAAGTCGCCCTTTTCTCACTGATTCAAAGCTTTGTGGCAGATGGTACCTTCCCAAACAGGTGCAATGGTATCTCCAGTCCGCCACACTCTTCCGGAACCTCGGTACTCCCGTCACAGGGAGGTGTCTGTGCCTCCTCCCCTCGAGTGTTGGTGGGCCTCTGAGACGGCCTCCACTCAAGGACCGTGGATCGCACTGCGACTTCTGAGGGGAGATCGCCGAAGGGCACACAGCTTCCGTCTCTCCTGGGACACAAACCTTCGGAGCCACGGGCTGCCAGGCTGAAGCTGCCGAGCTGGAGAGCCCACACCCGAGCAGCCTCAGCTGCGAATCTCCCGGCCTGGGCCCCGGCGCGGGCGCCAACCTTCCCCGTCTGACTGTGACGCTGACTGAGCACCGCCCACATGAGCCTAGTCCCCCAGAGCCACCAGAGTCACTAAGAAGATGCCCGTTGTCGTCCGCGGCCGCTAAGTTGTGCCGCGATTTGTGTGGAGCGATAGCTGACTGGAACAAGTTTGTTTCACTTTGTTTTGGGGCTTTTCCTTATTGGTTTAATTTTTTTGTATGCAAAACATTTAAAGGTTCACAAGTCAGACAGACCTGTACCCAGAGCCTGTCCTCATAGTCTCACGGCCATCGTCCTCCACGTGTGACTGGGGGTGCTCCTGAGTCGCACCGAGTTCCCGGCTGGCACACAGTCGGGTGGCACCAGTCAGCTTCGGGAAACGGGGCTGCCGTGGCAGCACTGGCACGTCCTTTCATACCTGTTTCCCACGAGTGGGACCGCAGGGGCAAGGATGAGTGCGTCTATCACGACCATAGAACACTGCCCAACTCCCCCCACGGGGGCTGTGCCACTTTGCACTGCCATCACTGACGTATGAGGACCGGGCAGTGTTTACCAACCTGACTGCCCCGGCGCCGATGACTGTCACTTGTCCTGATGGATCAGACCCGGCGCCAAGCTCTTGCAGGTGTGCGTTGGGGACTGGCTCTGCTTTCGCTCTCCTCAGTCAAGGATGGTCAAGCGTGTTAGAGGTCAGGTGGGGATTCTTAGCCCAGTGAGTAAACGTGGGTGAGCAGAGTGGGGAGGACACACTCCCCACGTGGGGACCCGGTGACAAATGGCCGCCCTGATGTGCCGAGACCTCCCTGTTATCTCAACCGGCCGCCGCGCAGATCCTGGGCTCACAGCTGTGAGCATGAGCAGTGGTGCGGGGCGGCTGCCCAGCCCGCCTGGCGGAGCCGACCCTTTGCTGGTGTCCGACTGCTGACCTGCTGGGGAGCCTCTGCAGGGTGTTTATTCATCAGAAGCAGAGGGGCCGGCTGAGCAGCCTTTGTGTGGGGCGCCAGTGGGTTCTGCCAGGTTGAGCCTGTCTTTTTCCTACTCAAATACCTCTGAATGCGCCCACACACCAGAGATTAGCCGATAGCGATCTGCATGGGGGAGAAATTTCTCGGCTGGCTGGAGCGGCTCAGCTGACCCGAGTACCCAAGTCGTGAACTGCTGAGCAAGCAGCCCGCCAGGCGGCCCCTGCCAACGCTGAATGTGCGGGGAGACGGCAGAGAGAGCGCCTGGCCTCGCTGTTGGGAAGACTTTATTACTGACGTCTCAGAGGACGGCACGGACCTCGAGGAACAGAATTCTTAATTTAGGACCCGAGGGCCACTGTAAACATGACCGGAGCCGGGGCGCCGTCACTGCTGCGGCAGAGGAGGCCGCCAGTCCGCTGGCGCAGTGTGGAACGCAGCCCCTGCCCTTTCATTTGAAGCTTCCGTTTTGAACCATTTGCAGATACTCCTTGTGGAGCTTCTCCTGAGCTTCGAAGAGCTTCTTCAGCTTCTTGGCTTGCCCTTTGCTCAGTTCTTTGCCTTCTGTGTCGTGTGTGGGCAGACCCTGAAACAGTGAGAGCACAGATGGTCACCGAGGGGCACGTGACTCCCCTCTCGGGCCCTCGGGCTCAGTGCTCAGCCCACTGACCAGGGCATGGCCACTTGCCTGGGCATCTACTCACCCCGATGCTCTGGGTCCAGTGCACTGATTCGGCAGTGTCTGTCCCAGCCACGGAGAAGCCACCCATCTGGGGGCACCCTCCCGCCTGGGAGGTGAAGGGCACTCTTCCCATCATGGTCTGTGTGGCTGAGTTGTGATACGACCGGCTCAAAAGGATGTAGCAAATACACACAAGAAGCAGAAAAGAAGGCCTCTGGGTGCAGAGGCAAAGCGGCCACAAACGGCTGTAATGAACACCCCGGGGGCAGAGGACATGGACATGTCTACACCAGGGCACTCCTGGCCGGCTTGTGAGGGAGAGACCCTGCAAATTCCATTTCCTGTCATTCTCAGCTCAGCCTGGCCACGATACCTGGTGCCAGAGGCCACTTGACCGCAGCAATGGAGGGAGGCGGCCTTGGGCACCTGGGTGCAGGCACTGGACCCACGACAGGCGCCAGATGATCCTGCCTCCCTTCTGATCGCATCCCAAACAGAAACTCTGCTTGCCCAAGCCTGGAAATTCTTGTCACCCCAATTTACTGGTCTAACAAAGTTCTGCAGGGAAGAAAAGGAATTCTTACGTTTTCGTCAAACTTGGAGTATTTGTCACTTTCTGATAAGAACATCTTTCTGGGCGGAATCTTCATCTTGGCCAGCTTCGCTGCCTGGAACACAGAGACGTGGTCACCACTGCTGAGCACACGCATCGCCTCCCCGCCCAGCCCCCCAATCCAGAGAGCTCCAGAGGACGGGAGGGCAGAGACCGGGGCCAAGGGATGTTAAAGGAGGGACGGTTCCACAGCCACCGATGCTGTGTCTCTAGGGACTGTGGAGGCCGTCTGCAGGCTCACAGCACTGAGTCAGAAAGCCACCTGGGGCCTGCATCTGGCCAGAGGGCAGCTGCCTGAGGCCAGGGCTCCCCTTGCCCAGGGACCCCTGGCTTCCCTGCAGGCACCACGTGGGGACATGCAGAGTGGGCCTGGGAGGGCACTGCTGGTAGACGGTGGCTGAGAGGGTGCCTGGCTGGGCCCAGGAGGCACAGAGAGCAGGGCATGGGGTCCACGTGTGCACTTCCACCCAGAAAAGACCAGCCCTGCCTCAAACAAACATGCTTTACTTCTTGTTCCTGTTTCTTCCTGGCTGCCTCCTCTTTCTTCTTCCTCTTCTCTTCTTCAGCCTAAGGGAACAGCAAACGGCCCCATGAGCAAGGTCAGCCTGAGGCCCCTCTCCGGGTGGGAGGTGAAACTAAACAAGCCCCGTACTGGCCCGCCATGGCCTTGCCCTGTGAGCTGGACTCTGACTCGGCCAACTCCACAGAGTGACACGGCCCGTGTACAGGGGGGCGGGGGCTCAGGAAGCGCACCGGGCGAGTCCTTATCCATTAGGGACCCTCGTACGTTCCCTCTGGAGATGCTCAGGGGGCCCTCTGGGTGCCAAGACCCGCTCTGGACCCAGGACAGCAGTGAGCAGACAGCACACACTCGAAGATCCAGGAAACAGCTAATACAAAGAAATGAGCATAGTGACGAGCCTGGCCAGAGGAAGTGACCGGGGACAGTGTTGTGAGGCCCGACCCAGACCAGGTCATGGGTGCCTGGGGAGGATGAGAGCAGGAGGCAGAGGTCAGTGGGTGCCAGGGCATGGGGGCCTTGGGGGCCAGGTACAGGGCCTGAGTTAATTCCACGGTGAAGGGCAGTGCAGAGGGGCTGTGGGAGATGGGGTGGTGGCCGGGGGCTCACTTCCCACCTGGCACGCAGCACCGGGCAGGGGCGAGGGCACAGGGGTGAGGGCGACTGGCACAGAGAGCAGGGGTGGGGAGGAGGAGCCTTCAGCCTGGGGGCCCGTGAGAGGGGGAGGACCAAGGCTGCCTCTGGAGGTTGGGCTTGAGCCACAGTGTGAACAACTGCCACCACTGACAGGAAGGAGGACCGGGTCTGGGAGCTGAAAATCAGGAGTTCCCTCTGGGATGGGTCTCATGCGCTTCCTGGGAAGCGGAGCTCTCAGGGAGGTGGCTGGGCACAGGGATCTGGTTACGGGCAAGTTTGAGGCCAGGGGAAATTTGGGGGTCACAGCCAGGTGGATGGCAGAGAACCTGTGGGACTGGGTGAGACCACCTGAGAAGGGCCAGGGACGAGGAGGGCCAGTGAGGCGGGGGTGTGGCCAGTGGGGTGGAGAATGCAGAGGGAGTCCCAGAGAGCAGGGTCAAAGGCTCATGAGGGGCCAAGGGAGACAGGTGGGGCCACCCTGGGATGTGCCCAGTCACCGGAGAGCTCGACAAGAGTGGCGCCAGGAGCAGTGGGGATGGTGGCGCCAGGAGAGGCTGAGTGGGCAGGAAGGAGGAAGACACGGCTCTGAGCTCGGGGGGCAGAAAGTAGAGCACTAAGAATTTCTGCCTTCTCCTTTAAAGACAAGATGTGTTCATCTGCTGGTGAGACTCTTCCGGGGGAGGGAGACACTGTCTATGAGGGGTGGGGCCAGGATGGTCTGGAACACCAGGGCCTTGGGCACCGAGGGCCCTGTGCCCACCCAGGAGCCCCTCCCCACCTCCTGCAGTCCCGGGGGTGCTTCCTCCTGGCAGATCTGGTTGGGATGAGGTTCCTTGGTCAAGAAACATGAGCAACTAGAAGGAAGGCACAAGCTGCTGCTGCAGTGGCCGAGTTCCTCTCTCGAAGGCCCGAGGCGAGTGAAAGGCCCAGCAGGGCGAGGGACACGGTGGGCGGGGCTGCTCACCTGCCGCCCTGAACAGAGCCTCTACTGCCGTGGCTTTAGGCCCCTGAGCGAGCACGTCCAGGAGGCAGAGCTATCTGGGGGAGAGAGCAGGAAGCAGTGGTGTTTGTTTCTTAGCCAGGCTTGGGGGAGCAGGAGGCACGGCCAGCCACGGTGGGCCACAGGCTGTGGTGCCCAAGGAGAGGGGCGAGCCCAACATAAAGCTGGGGTGACCAGATGTAACAGAAATGGGGGGCTGAGAAGGGCCTCGATGGGGAGGCCAAACTGGCGGCCCGTGGTGGACAAGTCCCGGCTCCTTGGAACTTTCCAACTATGACAAACCCACAAGCAGCTCACCAGCCTAACTGCCCAGAACTTCCGCGGGCGTTCCAAGCTGGTGAGCCGTCTTGCCTCAGGAACAGCTCCTCTTGGTGGCCATGCTCACATCTCCGTCAGCTATCCCCTGTACCCGGATCCCTGGCCTCCCAGACTTGCCCTCTACGGGGGTCTCCTCTTTAAGGCCTCTCAGGGCCCCTCACCCCTGGAGGCGGCAAAGCCCTATGGCCCACGCCCAATGCTGCCCACGTGGGCCGTGAGTTCAGGGGCCTCTGTCCTTACCACCTGCCCCCCCACGGGTGCCTCACGAGCTGTGCCCAGCAATTCTGACACGAACTGTGTGTTTCTGTTCCTGTTTTTCTCTCTCTCTTTGGGACACCGAGGTCCTTGAGAGCAGGGACTACCCCAATTCTCTGTGGGCCCGAGCCCTCGGCTCAGCCGCTAGCCATGGGGCATGTAGCGATGTCTGAGACACTGGGTGCCGACAGAGGCGTGACTGGGACGCATTCCACAAAGACAACACTACTTCCGCTGAGAGCAAGGTGTGACCAAACACGTCAGCTTCACGGTTTACTGAAGTGACTGATTTTCCCTTAAAGTATGAAAATAATTTTTTAAAAAGAGGTCCTTCATTCGAAGATAAATTTTCTGTTACCATATTGCCAGGTAGTTTCCTATCTAGTTAATTTTTCCTTCTGACCATTATAAATACTGGGATTGTACTAAAAGCATAAACACTACCTCCTACAAGGTGAAGTGGGTGGACCCCAGGGGTTTTCACATTTCCCGTCAACAACATGCTCGGGTCGTTTTAATCTTACTCACCCTTTTCTTTTCTTCTCTCTCTTTCAATAAGGTGTCTCTGTCCACCAACTTGACCACCGTCGGCAGTCCTGAGAAGCAACAGTCTGTGAGATGCAGCCGAGGCCTGGGGTCCATCCTCCCTGCTGACCTGGCCCTGCCCCACCTGAGCTGCCCCCAGGCCCAGGACCGCCACACGCTCCCCTGTCGCTGCCCCCGGGCCCTGGAGAGAAGCAGGCAGCCCCTTCCTGACTGCTCACACAGGTCAAACATAAATCGTGACGTGGGAAGGCCTTGCCACTCATGACAGAAAACCCAGAAGTCATCAAGTAAGACAACGTCATCTGAGTATTTAAAATCTAGTAATTTTCTGTGCAGCCAAAACCCCGACAAAGTTTGAAAGACAAGCTGTGAAACTCGCCAACCATCGGTATGACGTAGGCTGTCTCCTAAAGGACAGATCATAAGAGGTGGCCAGCACCCAGCAGAAAAACAGGTGATGGGCAGTCAGGCCGCAGGAGTGGTCACCCAAATGCCCCTCACACACAGAAGGTGTTGCAACGATGCCTAAGAAGGTGAACCACAAGGCCCCCTGCCACTGGGAACCACAGGTACCCCTCTGGGATTCTTGATCATACACCCTGTCCCCAGCTTTTCCTGTGGCCCTCTCAAAAATCACGCCCAACCCGGCGTCCTCCCCCTTCTCCACCCGTCACATCCAGAGCCCCTTACAAGGGGACCCAGACATGGCCGAGGAGGACCCGACCCACCTTCATGATCTTCAAACCGCACCCCGAGCTCGGGCAGGATGTCATCCCGCAGGGCGTCGCTGAGCTGCAGGACCTCCGCGACTGTGGACAAAGACAGGGGCTCAGTCCGATGAGACGCCCGGGGACCGCTGGGACCCACAGGACATGCAGCCTCCTGAGCTCCACTCACTGTGGAGGCAGGAGGAGCTCAGATGCTCCAGGCACTGCCATTGTGAGTCCATCAGGGGCCAGCAGGCCACCGGAGGACAGCACAGCGTGCCTGTTCAGAGGCAGCTGCTGCCTGAGGATGCACACGGACTGGTCCCAGGAGGGAACCTGAGCAGGGGAGTCAGGCCCCCCAAAGCCAGGTGGGCGGCAGGTCCAGGGAAACTACGTTTCTACTGCACAGAAACGAGGCTCAGAAACCAGCCGGAGCACCTCGTCACTCAGGAAGGTGTCCGGAACACACAGCCCTCGCAGCCCCAGCTCGATGCTGCTGAGAGCAGCCGAATTCCTCAGTCCAGCTCCCAGGGACCTGAGGCCACACCTGCTCTGGGCCTGTGTCCTGAGGTCCCCAGAAGTCCTGGAAGGGCTCCCTGTACTCTGCATGCTGTCACTGGGTGTCGCAGTGGCCTGCCTCCTCCATTCGTCCTCAGGGCTAAGCAGCCAGCCCAGGACCCCCCAGCTCCGAGCACCCACAGGTGAGAGCCAGAACTCGGCTAGAGGGAAGGGTGTGGCTCTCTGGGGCAGATGTGGGTCTGGAGGTTTGGGTGACCCCCACTGCTGCCAGCGTCTCGCACTTAGACCTTGGCCCCGCTGAAGAGGTGGAAGGGCCAGAGGCCTGGGGGATAGGGAACCATGCCCCACCTCAGTGACACTCTGCCTCGGCACTGGCTCCACTGTGGACACAGTGCTCCCAGCCCAGCCCTGCCCTACTCCCGAGGGAGGTGGCCACCTCGGAGCTGGAAGGAGCAGAAGGCCCGGGAGCCTGGGAGGAAGTGCAGTGCCTGGCTGCCTTTGAAGTGACTCTTCCAAGAAAGATGACACACGTGAAGCAAACAGAGTGGGTATGGACGACGAGATGGCTGGTGCAGCCTTCAGGCCTAAACTGGACGGTCCCTTCAGGTTCAGACATTCTTAACCCCAGTGTCCGTTTCTCTGTTGGTCCCAGAGGCAAAATGAATGAGCACCGACTCACTCCCTTCCCAGCCCCGGGGATGGCGGCAGATCTGACAGCGCCTGGTTACAGCCAGTGATGGTCAAGAGCTCGTGGGGAGCCTGGAACATTCCAGCACAGCCATCACAGAGCACCCATGGCTGCTGGATCCGGGGGCTCACAGCCCGGGGATGTGGCGCGGGGACAGTCTCCTCTGCATTCAGGAACGGAGAGCACGTCGGGGCTCAGCCCCCATCAGACGTGTTCTTCCAGGCTCCAGAACTGCTCCTCCACAGCTCTAGTGTGGGGAGAACCTGACCTCAGGGTGAAGGAAATTCAGCTTCAGGGTAAGGACCGGGCGCGAGGGTGGTACCTGGGTGAGCTGCCTGCCACGGAGGCTGACGTTTGCCTCTGTGAAACAGGACCCGATGCCATCCCCGATGGGTCTGGTGACACCAGACAGGATATTCTGCAGTGCCCTGTCTTTCGAAGCCAGGTCTCACACTGGTTCTTCAACACACAGCCCCCGAAGGCTGCTCAGCCTGGTTGCCCTACCTGCCAAGTCCCCCTCTCCCCAGCCGGTGCCCAGCATCCACGTGGGAGACCAGTGTAGGAGGAGTCCAGCGTGACAGGCCATGTGTGATGGTCATCGATCTCAAAAAGGCTTGACAGCATCCAACCACGGAACAAAGCTCACTGTGAATTAGGGGACGGACCACTTGTCGCTCCCAAGCACCCCGGACGCTGGGACTCAGCCTCGCTCCACTGTGAACTCACCACTTGCAAGGCCAGCACACTCGCACCCCTCGCTCCAGTACCCACCTGCACCACGAGGCCCGGTCCCAGGGGGTTTTGATGTGCTGGCCGTGCCTCCTGCAGAGAACACTTGTCCCCAGAAACTGAACGCCTGCTGCCCTCACCCCTGCTCACACCTACGCAGACCCCGCGCAGCCTCGCTGCTCCCCCGCCCTGCTTTGTCCCCCCTGCTGCACTGACCACAGCCCATGTCGTCATTCACTTGTCTGTCCTGTCGCCGCTGTGTCCCCAGGACCCAGACTGCTCCTGCCACTTGCCAGGTGCCCCACAAGTCCACTCACTGTTGAATGAATGAATGAATGAATGATGAATGAATGAATGAGGAACGAATAGGGATTCGCACATCTCAGGGGACTTCCTAGCGCCCTGGCTCACAAGCGCAGCTACTCCTGGGCAGTGACCCACTTCCTGACACTGTTCAAAGAAAGCCGTGTTTCAGCCTTGCCAGCAGGTTGTTTGGTCCGTTCCCTCTCGTGCCCCTTGGGGGTCACTGGCTGAGATGAGCCTCCCCAGCACCCCGAGGAGGGCCGACCCCGGGGCATGAGCTGAGGTAAGTGCCCCATGGCTGGCAGGCTAACCATCACTGGAAGGAAAGCGAGCCAGGTCCCACTGTCACCATCACCAACTCCTGAGTGTACCCGATGGGTGGCACAACCACCAGGGCGGGCACCCCCCAGGCTTCCCCCTGGGGGAAGGAGACACACCCTCCCCAGCGTCCCCTCATGCCCATGCTGTCCTCTGGGTCTGGGCTCTGCACAGTTCAGGAGAATGACCGGCACCTCCACATAGCTCAAAATTTCCTCCAGGCTTTCTTTTCAAACCTTTTGATGACTTTAGGGGTGGCTTTCTCCTCTATCCTCTTCCAAGTCATCTATCTGACCAGGGTCTAGTGTCCAGAATAAACAAAGAACTCCTACAACTTAACAACAAGACAAATGACCCAACTAAGAATGGTCAAAGGGCATAAACAGACATTTCTCCAGAGAAGATGTACAGAGGCCAAGAAGCATGTGAAAAGATGCTCAACGTCACTAATCATTAGGGAAATGGAAGTCAAAGTCACAATGAGATCCCACTTCACACCTCCTAAGATGGCAATAATAAGAATAAAACCCCCAGAAAATAACAGGTGTTGGTGAGGATGAGGAGAAACCAGAACCGGAAATATAAAATGTTTCAGCCGCTGTGAAAAAGCGTTTGGCAGTTCTTCAAAAGTTAAACATGTAAGTACTATATGACCCCACAATTCCACTCCTAGGGCACATGCTCCAAAGAACTGGAAAACCGGGATTCAACCAGACACTGGTACATACATGTTCACAGCAGCAGTATTCACAACAGCCAAAAGGTAGAAACACCCTAAGTGGCCATCAACGTAAGAATGCATAAGCAAAATGTGGTCTATCCACACAGTGGAATATTATTCTGCCTGAAAAAAGGATGAAGCACTGACACAGGCTACAGTGTGGATGAACCTTGAGAGCATTCTGCTCAGTGAAAGAAGCTGGACACAAAGGCCACATACTTATGATTCCGTGTCTACAACATGTCTAGAACAGGTAAATCCATAAAGACAGAAAGCAGATTGGTGGCTGCCAGGGGCCAGGGAGAAAGGAGGAGAGACTGACCACAGCGGGCACCCTCCTCCACCCGGCCCTCCCCACAGCAGGTACCCTCCTCCACCTCGCCTTCCCCACCCTGGGCATGACATAGGACTGGCTTTATCGCGATGCTGACAGGAGCAGAGCTAAGGCTTTCAGCGTCCCCCTCTGTGGTGTAAATCCAGACCTCAAGCTGTGGCTGCGGAGTCCAGGATGGGATGGAGGCCTCATGTGAGGCCCTGGGCCAGAGCCGAGGCTGTCACATGGAGAATCGGAGCTGGGAGAGGTGGGGACCTTTGACTTGGGAGAGCAGAAGGGCAGACGTGGTGGAACTGCTCCCGGGGGCAGAACCACAGAGGTATGGCCAGCAGAGCTGCTTCCAGAGAAGGAAGCAGCTTCGAAACCACCATGGCGCCCAGCAAAGGAAAGCAGGCTTCCCTGGACATGGTCCCACAGAGAGGATGACTTCCCCCGGGGCACCCAGGCAAAGCATGCCAGCTGTGAGGACCTCACAGGCCTGTCAACTCTAAGAGGCTCTGACTCCATCAGGTTCTAGAAGGAGAGGGTCTCCATATGGCCATCTGCTAATGAGCAACAGCTCAGAAGCATTTTGGGTGAACGGGCAGCACGGGGAGATACCTCCTTCACACACTCGGGCAGTGGGCGCCCTTCCCTTCCTGGCAGAGGACTCACAGGGCCCAGGGCGGCATGTGGGCGTGGGGAGGGGAGCACAGCCATCAGGGCTGGCTTCTGTTCGTGGAGCTGGGAGACAGGAGCGGAAACCTGAGAGCAAGCAGTGACCAGGGAGACATTAGGAGCTTACCAAAAGATACAGGAGTCCATCCATGTGTGAAAGGATATGCAAACGTGGCCTATTCACACAATGGAACATTATTCAGCCTTAAAAAGGAAGGAATTCTGACACGTGCTACCACATGGGTGAACGTTGAAGGCATCATGCTGAGTGACGTGAGCCCGTCACAGAAGGACCAATCCTGCGTGATTCAACCTACAGGAGGTCCCCAGAGTCGTCAGAAAGTAGGGTGGTGAGTGCCAGGGGCTGGAGGAGGGGGAGTGAGTGTTTAATGGGGACGGAGTTTCAGTTTGGGAAGATGGAAAGTTCTGGACACGGATGGTGGTGATGGCTGCACAACAATGTGAATGTGCTTAACGCCACTGAGTTGCTCATTAAAATGGTTAAGATGGTCGGTTTTATACTACGTGTATTTTACAGAAATGAAAAAAATGAACAGTGACAGGGAAATGGCTACCCTCTGGCTGCAGAGCGGCCCCAGCCCTGCCCCCGCCCCCCGTTCTGACCACGTGCACATCCTTGCCCTTCTAACTCCTTCCCAACTTCCCAAGCCTCTCCTGGTCAAACACCTACATCCCATGTCCCTCCTGGCCAGGCCCGAGCTCTCTGGCGACAGGACGGTGGGCATGGAAGGGGCAACTCTCTCTTACTCATCGGCCTGTCCAGCCCCTGGTCTGGGTGGGGCAGAGGAACAGCACCCGGCAAACTCGGCTGAATCAATGAACCAAGGGCCCCCCTGAGCTTTTCATGCAGTCTTCCTGTCTCCCTGGACAGCCCAAGGCAGCACGACAGCCAGGCGGGGGTGACAGGGAATAACTAAGGAGAAGTCAGTCCCTGCCGCTGCTGCTGGTGCGGGTGGGAGACACGGCCGAGACGGTGTGATGGGCCGCCTTCAGCCCAGACGGTCTCCCCCGTCTGAAGAGCCCCCAGCCTGAGGCTCAGGTCAAATGACCTCCCTGTCCACCAGAGCCCCGGGGTGGACAGTGTCGCATGCGGGCAGAGCTTGCACAGGGTGGGTACTGTCACCACCCTCCTGACCTGGGCCCCTGTGTCTCTTTGTCCATTTGCCTGAGCAACAAAAAATCAAGGCAAAAAGAAAAAACAAGCAAACGAAAAGCAAAACCAAACTGCTCCCCAGGCAGCTGACTGGCACTACTCTCAGGGCCCAGGCAAGGCCCCTGGCCTGCTCAGCACCGCCTCGCAGGGCCTCTGCTGGCCGCCGTTTATCCAGCGCCCGCCCTGAAGGACGGGCAGGCAGAAGTGCCCAGGCTGCCCCCGAGAATGGACATCCCCAAGCTTGAGACCCCACGAGCGAGAAGTCGGCACTGTCAAAATTGTGGGAGAACTCGGTCCAGGTCCTGAAGGGTCCATCCAGGCTCGGTTCAGCTCGCTTCAACTGCTTTAAAGTGGTGGGGGGTCAGGTGTTAAACAGATTGGGCTGGGCGTGTGCACGCGGTCCAAACGCCACCGCCCAGGCTGAAACGCCTAGCTCTCCCTAACTGCACCCCCAGGTCCAGCTTCTCTCGGCGGGGACACGAGGCCTCCCAGCCTGGCCTGTGGCCTTGGCGCACACCTCATACCGGGGGGCTCCTCACAGCCTTGCTTGGGGTGGGGCGGGGGGCGAGATGACGACGATCCGAGGCGTTCCTGCCTGCTTGCCTCTTGCTCTGCTATCTCTGGAACAGGCCAAGACCCGCTCCCACCCCTTCACCTGGCCCAGCCCTGCTCATTCCTCTTCAAGGCGCAGCTCCCTCCAGAAGCTCCCTGAGTGCCCCGCTGGGCACTCTGCCAGCTCCACCCTTGGGGTGCCCCACCTGGTCGCAGCCCCACCAGCAGGCTGGCCAGCCATGAGCCACTCTGGGTGCGACTTCTCAGCACAGAGAGGCCTGGGGACAGAGCATGGCATAGCCAGTGATGGGTGGCTCCAGGTCAGACTGCAGGGGGTCTGCCACTGACCCCAGTGTGACCCCGGACAAGGCCTCTAACTTCTCAGGGCTTTGCTTTCCATTTCTGTAAAATCATGAGGATAAAACGAGGCAATGTGAGGAAAGCGCCGGGAGCGGGCCCGGCAAGCTCTAAGTTCCACAGACGTCAGCAGCCGTAGCTGTCGTCCACCAGCTCAGACCACGCAGAGTGAGGAGCGGACGGCCTGCCTGATGCTGCTCGCTGCTGTTCAACAACCGTTCAAACCTGGCCTAAAAGAGGGAAGCTTCTGATCCAGCATCTTCCAAGTCTCCAAGAACACGCTGGATGTGCAGGCCCCTCAGGAATGCCGCTGGATGAAGGGCCGGCTGAGCAGAGACAGCGGGCCGTGACTGGGTGGAGGCCCAAGGTCAAGGCACTCAACCCACTGCGCCCCCGAGCACAGTGACACCGTGGGAGCTCTGGTCCCCCAGCAGAAGGCTCTCCCATCACCGCGGCTCACCTCTGAGAGGCAGGAACAAGGCACCCTGCAGAGCTGGCCTCTCACATGTATCCTCGGGCCCCATCCAGCTGTCTTGCCTACAGGGGACACCTGGCGACGTCTAGAGACACCTGTGGCTGTCACGACTTGGAGGGTGTGGTGCTACCCAGATCTAGTGAGTGAAGGCTGGGGATGCTGCTAAACATCCTACAACGCGCGGGACGGCCCCACAACAGAGAGGAACAGATCCCAACTGTCCACAATGCCAGGTGTGAGACACCCCGGGCCACAGCACCGTGCGAGGCAGAGGCATTCCCGTGCCCTCTGCCAACCGGCCTCACCTTTCCTCTCCCGGGCGATCTTGCGCACTCCTTCTCTGAACTCTGACAGCACCTGAAGGTACGGCATGACCGTGGACTCGAGCTGTGGACAGAACGGTTCCGCTCACTGAGAGCTCAGTCACCCGTCTCTGTAACTGAGCAGAGGTCAGCACGCAGGCTGCAGGGCAGGGACCACCATGGGACGTGCTGCTAGTGGGCGCCCTGCAGTGATGGGGTCCCAGGGACTCACAGGCCCAGCACAGGCGACATGGGCTGAGTCCCGTGAGCTGCTCTGTTTAACCGCCGCTGCCGTGCTGTTACAGGTCAGACATGTAACTGACAAAACACCCATCTTTATGGCTACTCATGGGTGGTCCCAGGAGGGACTATTTCCTGAGAGGTCTGAAGCCGCTCCTCCCAGGCTGGGGCCTCATCTGCACTGAGGCCAGCACCACGGAGCTGGGCCGACCTGTGGCCACACACACGCCTGTTTGAGATGAGCCCTCCCCACGGACTGTCTACCGTGCACCCGCATATCCATGTCTACTCTGCAGGAATGACCTGCGGTAGCACTAGGAGGCCCCGGAATGCAAAGCCCGCTGGGAAAGGAACACTGAAGAGGGCAGAATCCAAACGGCAGAAATAATGACTTTACGAAAAATCTTTTTTGTTACGTCTATCATACTTTTCTAGTAGGCTTTTGAGCAAGGCTTCTCTCTGCCTCTTAATGAAGTCATGGGCAGCTCAATAACCAAAGAAACAATAATTAGATGCAAAGCCAGCTAGGCTGACGAGCCCTAGTGTGACCTAAACCTCTTTATGCCCAATATTTCACCGGGGCTGAGGCGACGGCCTTACGGGCGGGGGGACTGTAATTCCGGGACTTTTAGGTCTTTATGTCCACCGCACACCCAGACAGCGGGGGCCTCAGCACAGGGCAGGACGGTGGCAGCTTTCCTCTGCTGCAGGCCTCGGCCAACAGGCCCAGCGGGCCAGCTGACCACACCAGTGCACGCTGTGGGCCATTCAGCACTGAGGTGGTTCAAGACCTGGAAGCTGCTTCCCCTGCTCCTAAAACAATTTGGGTTTGGAAGTTAACCCACGACCTTCAAATGGCACGGAGGCGGGTCGCGTCCTTCGGCCCGCAGGCTTACCTACTGCATTTCCCTGTGGCTGCTGATTCCAATGAGCTGACTTCAAAGTGCCCAGTGAGGTCCCTGGGGGAAGTCTGAAGGCCCCACACACCCACAGTGGCATGTAACAGTCAAGGCTTTTTTTTTTTTTAAGTTCAAAGGCAGACTGTCTTTAACCTAGGAGGTGGTTTTGTTTTTTTTAAGAAAATAAACATCCAGTATCACTTGCACAAGAGAACAAAGCAGCTGTGTGGGTTTCCTTTCTTAAAAAGCACCCAAGAAGGTTCATATATGGCAAAGTCTGGAAAATACCACAGCAACAACTAAGTCTGAGGATAACAAAAGCCACCGGGGATGCGGGCGTGGAGCTCTGGCAGGAATTCCTGCAACACAGAACTGCTTTCTCTTTGCAAGTCAGTTCCTGGGGAGACATCTATAAACTCCGCCTGCAAGAGAGGACTCTCCACACCGCCCATCATCGGGAAACAGGATCCTAAAAAGGTTTTGCCTCTTTGCTTTGTACTTGACTCCTGTTTTCAGTTAAATAACAGTTGCTGCATTTAAATATTTACATATGCATTCTAATGAAATAATCATAGTGCATTCCTGCGCAGGGGAGGAGGGTGGCAGCACGTCTGAGATGAACTGAAGGTGTGCCCGTCATCTGTGACAGGCGTCTCGCAGCAGAAACCGTGTGGGCCTGCCCGTATGCCAACTCCAAGGGAGTTGCCAACAGCGGCTGATGAGTTCTCCTACGTGCCCCAAGAGATGGCTCAGTGCGGCACCGGAGCACAGTGCATGGGTGCAGGGCAACGAGAGAATGGGACTCCGTGATGCCACATGACTGCGGCTTAACGAAAGGCCCAGGATGGTCCCATGCAGCCTGGCCTTCCGGAATGGAGCTCAGACAGACAGCACAGCAGCGAAAGTGCTCCACGAGCAGCGGTCACGAGGAAGGCTGTTATGGTCCTGGCTGAGCCTGCACACACCGGAGGGCCAGCTGACTGTGCTCAGTTCCGCCAGCCAGGCGCAGATGCGACCAGGGGTTCCGTCTGGAAGGTTCAGTGTGGGTAGGACCTCATGCCGGTCTCCATATGTCCAGAGGGTTACCCCAGGAGGGGAACAAGGAGTGGGGCGGGAGCAGGCGTGGGAGGTAGAGGGTGCTGCTCGCAGTGCGCGCAGCTTCCCGGGGGCCGGGTGACCCAGCAGGGCACTCTCTGGGCCCAGGGGCACTCTACTCACGTTTAGGCTGCCTCCAGGTCCTCCAACTGGGAAACCCAGCATGCTGTTCTCTTCTATGGCCCCAAAGATCTAGGAAAAGAAACAAAGAGGTCCTGAGAGATGACACCCGGCAACTGCCCCACGAAACACGCTGCTGCGCACGGGAGGGCCAAGGCGGCAGCATGGACCACCACACTGGGTGGGAAAGAGCAGCTCTGAGAGCCCCGGAAACCCAGGCCCAAGGGCGCCCCACCTGCTCCAGGACAAGTCCCAGCTCCAGCTGCCCTCTTGGCCCTCTCTCAGCCCAAGGCCGTTGGTGGACAGGGGACCAGAAGGGTGAGGTGGGCAGGTCCTGCTCACATGCAAAGACCCCAGGACCTGTCGGCATGGAGGTGTGCACCCTGAGCAAGGCTGTACAAGGTGAGTTCGCGTTAAGGCCTCTTGTTCTGCTTTCAAACCTCAAGACGGGAGGGGAAAATACTGAAGCAAAGAGGCGAAATGGCCCAGAGCCAGGACAACGGCAGGCGTCTGAGCTCTAGGCAGGGTACAGCAGGGCTGGGCGGGGCAGAAGTGTGCCTCAGCTTCCCTCCCAGCTTCCCTAGCCTGTTGAGCACCGCGCACCCGGCAGCCCCGTTCGTATCATCACAGGGCACACTGCCTATGTGCACACAGCACAGCGAGGGCCACAGGGCGCGCAGGTCGGGGCCTGGCTCACCTTCAGCATGTGGGTGAGGTACAGAGCGATGCTCTCCAGCAGAGCTCGGTTGGGTCTCCTCCTCACCGCCTTCCGGGACGCCATGTAGAGGTTGCACTGGCCCACCAGAGCCCGCATTTCTTCCAGGACGGTACGCGTGTCGACGTTATCACAGAGGGCTTCGTGAACCGCCGTCTTCCTGTCATAAAAGCTGAGCAAGAGGAAGGAACAGGAGCGTCAGAGCTTAACACAGGGCAGAACCTCTCTGTGGAGTCCAACAGCCGGGGCGTTTTCCACTAGCAGGTGCAGAACCTTCTCAGTGTGGTTTTGCACAAACACGTGTGACAGTGCCACCAGCCTCCTCATGGGTGGGTGTGACACACGAACAGCACAGAATATGGGCACACCTGCAAACCCCAGAGGAAAGGCTCCATCTTACCTCTTATTCAGTTCTGCTTCCTCATCTTCCCACTTCTCAAACTGACCAGTTATATCAACAGGAGCTCGAAGGATGTCTTTCACATTTAAGAAAAACTCCTAAAGGTAGAAAATTCAGTTTAATAGCATTTAGACAACTGTTCCATCTCAGAAAGGTCTGCAGGAGAGCTGTTCTACTAATGTGCTTCCACTTCAGGTGGAGTCTGAAGAACGACAACGCACTACACCACACAAGTGCTGGGCAAGGAAGCGAAAGGCACTCCTTCGAGACAGAACAAGGTCCAGTTCCGGCCTTAGAGATGCTGGTAAGCGGACAGGACCAGCCGGAAAGAAACACGCACACGCAGACAAGACGCGTGCGGACCCCAGACCCTAGTGAGCCGGCAGACGTCTCAGGAGGGGGCACTGAGCTAGTTTCCCCACCAGCATTTGGTTGCTTTTGCCATATCCTGTTCTCTATCAGAAGATACGGGAAGCGGCTAACACATCCCAGCAGAGTTGACCAGAGGTACCCACGGGGCTGGCAGTGGCCCCTCCAGCCACCTCCAAGGAGAAGGTGGGGACTCACGTTCATGAACTTCTCATACTGAAGTGCCGACTCCATGGTATTGCTAGAATAATCCAGCGTGTCCTTCCAGGAGTGCATCAGGAAGGCCAGGCGCAGCTGCCGAGCTGGAAGAGAACAGCACAGAGGTCCCACTGTTCTCCCGAGGAGCCACGGTCACCGCCCATCCAAGGAAAGAAACACCTGGGTGTTTGGGAGAGGTCAATGTTTACCTGAATGCTTCTTCAGAGCGTCTTTAATGGTGATGAAGTTTTTGAGCGATTTTGACATTTTGCAGCCTGCAATTGTCAGGTGACCCGTGTGAAGGAAGTACCTGACCCAGCAGTCATTTTCAAAGTAGGCCTGCGTGGAGAGAGACAGAAGGAGGGCGACAGCGCCGAGTTACCAGGCACCCCTGCTCACAGGGAGGGCGACGGCTGCTGTGTGAGCCCTGGGGTCTCCTCTGCTCACATCACACATGCAGAAGAAGGTGCTGCCTTTCCTAGGTGGACTGCCCCGGGTCAACGAGCCAGGGGGTCACAACTGGTTCCAATCCAGGCCTGTCTGTTGCCAATTAATGGCTGTTAATGTGGGAAATCAGGCTGAAAAAATAGGATTCAAATTCCACTGACAAAACCCTGATGTGGAAGTCAGGCCCCATTCAGGAAGCACCTTGCTGACAGCCCCCTGACTTCCTTCATGTGCACGGTGGGAATGCCAGCCGCCTGTCTTTCTCTCCACCATCACAGTGGAATGCCAGCCCACCTGTCTGAAACGGTGACCACAGCCCCACCTACCTCCGACTGCGCCAGCTCATTGTCGTGGTGGGGGAACCGGAGGTCGAAGCCCCCTCCGTGAATATCCATCGAGGCTCCCAGGAGGGTGCCTGCCATGGCGGAGCATTCGATGTGCCATCCTGGCCGCCCCTAGAAATCCAAATGAGCAGTGACCGACTGGCCCGGCCTCTGTGCCCAGGCCTTTATTCGCTCCAATGTTCATGACCTTCAAAACCTCTGAGCTTTACCGGGACAGGTAGTAAGCTCCACATGTGAAAAACCAACGGGAATCTATTCTGTACAGTTCACAGCAAGCTTCGTGGCAGCCGAGCTGTGCTGAGGCCTGTGTTACTTCCAGAACTCCCAGCACTTGACCAGACACAGATGCCAACACCCTCTTCCCGTGGCTCTGGGCCGTTGGGACTGTGGTCACAAGGGATGTTAGAGGGCAGACTTGTCCCCAGGGGCTTGTAATATGCAGAGTCAGAGACCCCCAACATCCTCCTTTGTCTGTAGCTGAAGATGGTGTTTAAGATGGGACCTTCTGCCATTTGGGTGAGATGCTCAGTTTTCCTGAGTGTCTCTCATGTATACATGTTATAAAGCTTTGTTTCATTTTCTCCTGCTATTCTGTCTCCTGTGAATTTAATTCGTAGCCCAGCCAGAAGGACCAGAGAGTAGAGGAAACGTCTTCCTCCCCTATAGCCATCAGGACACAGGGGCCTCCGAGGAGGTCCAATCCACCCACAGCCCCAGCTGCAGACAAGATGTGATGCGTCCAGGGTCTTGTGAGGCTCTGCGGCATCTGGGTCCCCAGGATGGGGCAGTCGTACGCTGCAGCAGCGAGGGGCTCTGGCGTGCCCGTGCCCTGGCCCCACCCTGCACCTCTGTGGATGCTCACCTTTCCCCACGGGCACGGCCAGGACGGCTCCCCTGGCTTGGAGGCTTTCCACAGGGCGAAGTCGTTGGGGGACCGCTTCTCACTCAAGCGGTCTGCTGAGATGCTCAGGTCGCCTGCGGACACGAGGGAAGCGGGTCAGTTGGCGCTGCCTGATGGGTGGGTCGTCTCACTCCAGGGCCATTTTTGGTGTCTGCTGGTCAATTCTGACTACTTCTGTTTATTAACGTTATTAGCTGGGTCAAGCACTCCTCCAAGTTTGTTATGACCAGATTTGATGCTGCCCCAGTATCCAGAGTTACAAACCCTATTTATCAGCTTAGAAGTCACCCACTTGAGAGCGTGTCTGAGGCCCGTTACCCATGGGCCTGAACCCGCACCTGCCGTCTCCCGCCCAGCTCCTCACACTCTCGGCCCCCGCGTCAGGATCAGCAACGGCGCTCTGGTCTATGATGCGAGGCGAGTTCTGGTCGGTTACAGTGGGTTCTCGTATTAACAGCCTGCACGACTCTCGGCTGGGGTTTGGGGAGGTATGACGACGAGCTAAGCCTGCTGCGTGTGGCCTCTTGGGCCTGGAGTGGAAAATCGGGACACCACTGTTCCTCTGTGTTCACAAAGGGAAGTGAGGAGGAGAAGGCCACAGAATGATCTCTGAAAGCCAAGGGCAAAAGGGAGTATGGCTCCTCCTGGGGCAAGTGCCGTTTCCTGGACAAGGCCCCCCAGAAAGCAGATGGAGAGAGTCACTGCTGGGCCCGGGGCACGGGCGAGCCAGTCTACGTCTGGCAGGAGCGATGGGAAACGACCGTTCCCCAGAAGAGGACGACACGGCCACCACGGGAGATTTCTCTAGACCACATGCAGGGACACATTAGCTGCTGTGAAAATGAAAACCTGCCCGTCAGACCAACCTTCAGGCGGAGAACCCCCTCAGGGATCGGTTGAAGGCCGGGCGAAGGAGGGCACAGCAAGGGCCTCGGCCCGCGGGAGCGCCTGGAGGGTCTCGCCAGGCCCCTTTCCTGGTGCCTGGTCTAAATGCTGCCTGTTCCTGCGAGCTGTCGCCCCCTCGTGGAAAACTCCAGAACAGGAACAACAGACTCACTCTGGTGTCCAGGGTTGCAAACCCAGCATGACCTTGATAAATGCCCGTTTTTAAGCAAGAAATCAGACAATACACCTAAGCTACCCTGAGAACACGGTCGAGAGGGAAAGTGCTGCTGAAGATACCCTAACGCACAAACTGGATGATTATAAAACAGGTACTAAAGGTAGAATATTTGGAAAATACAAAAAAAGAGCCAGGAGAGAAATGCCATAATCACAGATGTTGGGATAATTACTGTTAACATTTTGGTGTATTGATTTGCAGGTCTGTGTTTTTTTAACTATGCAAGCAGAACACAGACACATCCAGCAAACGGCACAAACTCCATTCTAGTTTCTTATCTCTTTTCTCACTGTCTGTGAGCAGCTTACCACGTCACTAGCAATGCTCCCAAAACATAATCTGAGATGGCACCCTTTGACAGCTAAGTGTATATTTCGGTTTTTAATTTTTCCTTATTATAAACATAGTTATGCATGAATGTGTCTGACTTTTAAAATTTTATTTTGAAAAACTGTGTAATGGACAAAAGGTGATGCTGTCTTGCAACACGAGCACCCTCTCCCCCAACTCTCCAACGAATGTCATTATCTGGCAACACAGTCACGCGGCGCTAAACAGAGACAGGTTCTGAGATGCGTCGTTAGGAGACTTTGTTGTTATATGAACATCACAGAGTGACTTACTCAAACCCAGATGGTACAGCCTACGACATACCCAGGCTGGACAGTACTAATCTCAGGGGACCGCTGTCGTATATGTGGTCTGTCACTGACTGAAAGGTCGTTATGCGTCACATAACTGTACTTCTTATCTGCTCCAGATTTTTTAAGTGAGAGAAATAAATCACACAGTCCGTTTTGCTCTCCCACCTGGTGTCATTTCTCATTGTCCTCTCCAGAGGCAACTGCAACACGACCCTGCACCCGCATCAGGAGAGTTTTTCACTTTCCCTCTCTGCCCTCTGTGAACCGTCTCTACTAGGTGCCTTCCCCGATGTGGCTCTCCCGCCGTGCACCCCTGGGGGTCTGCAAGCCGTCGGCCTCTGCTGCCCTGTCCTCCTTGGTGGAGCCAGTAGGCTGCCCGGGCCGGCTCAGATCCCCACTACGGCCCCTCCCTGCCCGAGTCCCAAGCCTCAGGTGGAAGCAGACACTTCCCAGGCTTCCTGGCTGCAGTGAAGGGTCATGTGGCCAAGTGCGACCACTGCAGCAGGCGGAAGGGGAAACGTCCCGAAAGGGCAGGCACGCCCCTCTCTGCCCCTTCTATTTGCTGTTGGACTCTACTCCTCTGGGCCTGGGAAGCCAAACTCATTCTAAAGTCAGTGTGGGAGACAAAAGGTCCAAGAACAAGTAATATTTAAAAAGAAGTACCCGGATGGGGTCAGATGGCAAGATTCATCACATGGGAGGGCGGCCCTCACCACCCTTGGAGCGTCTGGCTGGGTGCGGCCGCTGGAGCCATCCCTCTGCCCTGGCTCCCGGTCGCTGCTCTCACGCCTCGCCCCTTCCCCGGCATCCACATGTCATGAAGTGCAAGTTGTGCAGTTTTCTCTGACTTTTTCAAACTCTCTGTAATATCTACAGTTATGTTCAGTTCTGTCCTAATATATTTTTAGATCTTCTTTTTCTATTAATCAGTCTTGCTGGAAGTTTTTCTGTTGTTAACCTTTGTGAGGAACCAGCTGCTGACTTTCCGCATTAGTTCCATTTCATTCATCTCCGCTTTTCTTTATTTCCTCCTTTCAGTTTACTGTTGGTCCTTTCCTAGCTTTTTGACCGACCACTTGCCTCACTTACTTTCAACCTTTGTTTTTTAATAACTACATTTGAAAACGCAAATTCCCTTTAATGGGCCTATTAGCTGGGGTCTCCACGTTTTGCTCTGCGGCACTCCTGCTGCTGTTCAGTTTCAAACATTCTGTAATTTCCACCGTGGTTTTCTTTCCCTCCAAGTTATCGAGGAGTAGGAATTTAAATAGGCTGGTACATTTTAAATGTCCTTTAATGCTGATATGCAATTCCCTGCATCGCGGCAGAGACCTCGATCTCCACGAGGCATGACTCTCGCTGCAGCCTGGTGGATGGCCCCACGCACTTAAAGGAGCAGATGCTCTTTAATTCCTGGGTGTGAAGTTCTGGTCTGCGGGACTAGGGCCGTGAACCATGCATTTCAATCCTTTCGCATCCTTGCTCATCTTGGCCTGCCTCATCTATCAGTTTCTGGGAAGTGCGTTGAACTTCTCCTCACAAATGTGGCTGTGTCTACTTCCCAGTCTTCAGGGATGTGGAGGTCGTGCGGTCCGGTCCACACAAGTCCACGACTGGGCCTCTTGGGAGACGGGGTGCTTCAGCATCATGCAGTCACCTCCTTTCCTCTGACCAACCTTTAGCTTTAAATGCCATTGGGTCTGATATCAAAGGTGTTAGACTAACTCAGTCCATCTTTTCTCCGTGTTTCTGTGCTGTCTTGTTTTGTTTCAGGTTCTGATATTTATTTAGAACAGAGCCCTAAAGGTGAAATTATTTGATCAAAAGTATGAATGCGTTTATGGCCAAAGTGCCTTCCAGAAACACTGGCGGATAAATCCCGTGTGTATCCCGCCGGACGAGAGCAGCCCTGCCCTGTGGGCCTGCTGGCTCTGTGCTTCGCTGGCAGACTGACTTAGGGAGTAAGAACGGAGAAAACACTGATGAAGGACAAACGTAATTCAGCCGAGTCCAGAAAAAGCCTTACGTCTATGTTTAAAATACTGGGGTCGAGATGGGCAGGGGGGCTGTCGTCATATGTGTCACTTGCTGTGATGAGGAAATAGCCACTCTGAGTCACTGGCTGGCACTTCCCAGCATGATGGCCCCTCACATACCGAGCCTGGACGTTCAGAGAAGGACCAAGGGCAGGAGGCCCGCCTCGAGCTCCCTCTGCTTCTCCTGGGGCACCTTTGAAAACGACCACTCAGAGTGGAGCCTGAGAAAAGTGAGTGCCCTCCGCCCCAACCACCCTGCATGAAACAGGTGCCTGCCACCCTGCTCTCTGTCTCCTGCAGGCTTCAACCCGGACAGAGGACTGCCCTTCCCCCGCCTCCCAGATCTGTGGTGATAAGCCTGTGACCCCGCTTCCTTCGTGTTAAAGTACTGAAACTGCGGTTCCGTCAAAATGACCCTGGGGTTTTCACTTCCCCAGCAGAGCGGGAGCTGGGACGCCCAGGGAGCCACCTGTCGACCCTGTGTGGGTGGCTTGTGCCCTCTCGTTCAGCAGGTCATCATCTGCATGTTCTTAACACACCAGCTCTGGGTTTTCCAACACACTCACTCACACACAGCGTCCTACAACCCACCCTGACCCTCAGGGGCTCTGGATGCCGATAAACAGACAAACGCCAGCACTGTGGATCAAGGCCCCAAAGTGTGCTGTATTTTTTAACATAGACGGCATCTTATACGCTCACTTCTTTGTTTCTTAAAAAATACCATGTCACAGGCTCAGTGTAGAAAACCCTCCAATCCCGTCAGGTGAAAACACGCAGTCCCCGGTGCATCGAGGTGCCGGCAGTGGCATCTGCGAGGCCGCAGCCCCCGCCACCCACGCTGTTTACCTTCCCCTTCCTGCAGGGCTCTCTGATCCCCAACAGCCTCGGGCACCAGCTTCCCGTAGGAGTGTTTCTCACTAGAAGCAAACTTCACCGTGTCAAAGTACACGGACCCATTTGAAGCATAGCTGCAAAACAGAAAAGGAATTGCGGGAAAGTGTGACAAACCCAAAGAGCGGCCAGAGCCGCTGCACAGGGTGACAACCTGGAACTCCCGAGCGCCACACGGGCTGTGGGCTGTGCAGACTCTGCTCCTGCAGCTCCGTGATGCGGCTCCTCGAAACCAGGGCCGCTGCGTGGGCTGAGCGGGGACGTGACAAGGACACTTCGCAATGCACAGGCAAACTCCTCACTCCCAGGTCAGCGTGTCACCCGCACAGACCCTCTGCCTTGCATCCTGCCCCTTGCCTTGGTGACACTACAATCTGTGTGACGTGCCCTCACCTCTGTCTACTTTCTACCCACCTGCACAGCCCAGCCATGGCTCTCTGCCTCCCAGAAGCACTCCCGATTATCCCAGCCTGGCACACGATCTCGTGTCAAGTGGCGGAGAGCGGAGGCACTGTCACTGCTCGAGAGCCCGTGCTGCTGTGGGACCCTGCCAGGGGCCTCCACGCCTCACTTGGCGCAGCGCACGCGGCTCCTGCCGGCCTCGTCCCCAGCGAGGTGGGGAAGCAGCTCTCCCGGAGCAGGGGCACAGCACACAGGAGCGAGTGCTGCAGACAGAAACCCGGTCCCTCTGCTCTTCTGTTTGTTGGCTATTTTTGAAAATGCCAACTTCAGAGACTTGCCAAGTGTCTCATGCAGTCAGATAGTGCTAGAACGGTAAACCTGGGCAGGGGCAGCCCCTGTGACCAGGAGTGATGTGTGGTGGAATCAGCCAGGCGATAGAACACAGGACAAAACCAACCCAGGCTGGGGATGTGACACAAGGACAAGCTCTCTCCAAGGGCCTGCACGTGGGGCTGACACCTCCATAGACCTGAGAGCGTCCATGCTCACCAGCCTGCTGCTTTGGGGCCCTCGTGGCTGAAGGTTCCCAGCTGTGAGCTTCCTAGTAGAAGGGCCGGTGAGCCCCCTGGGCGGGGATGCCCCTGGTCCTGGGCAGGGCGCTGAGCCGTAGAGCTGTAGGGGCTGCGAGGCAGGCTGAGGTGCAGCCAACACCATGCTGCTCTTCCTGCCTGCCCCGCCCCAAGAGGGGCTTTCTGCACAGCTCAATACCTGTAGGAATGGCAGCCGATACCAAGGGAAACTAGGGAGTCCTCCTACAAAGCAACCGGGAAGCTGAGAGCTAAGCGGCAGAGAGCAAGGAGGCCTGCCGTGGGGGTGAGTGTGAACAGGCTGCTGCTACGGCGAGGTTACGGCTTCACCTGTGGCCCCAGGATTCATATGCTGCCGTCCTAACCCCCAGTACCTCAGAATGTGAATGTATTCGGAAAGAGCGTCTTTACAGAGGTAATCAAGGGAAAACGAGGCCGCCAGGGTGGGCCCTCATCCAGTATGACTGGTGTCCATCTAAGAAGAGATCAGGACACGAAAGGAGACACGTGTGCACAGTGACAAACGCTGCAGAGGCAGGGAGGTGCAGCCGGCTGCGAGCCAAGGAGAAGGGTCTGCACAGACCCTGCCCTCAGGGCCCTCGGAGGAACCAGCCCTGCCGACACCTGCAGCTCGGAGTTCCGGCCTCTGGAGCCGTGAGCAAACACCTCTGCGCTGTCTAAGACGCCCGGTGCGTGGCACTCTGTGACAGCAGCCCCGGGGCACTAGCACCCCGAGCAGCACCACAAGCACAAGCTTTCCTGCTGCCAGATCCTGACTCAGAGACGGACAGCTGTTCTCCCTGGAAAACCCTCCCCGGGATGTCATGCAGCCCCGAGGAGGGCCTTGAGCTCACCCGTAACCGTTGTCCACGATCTTCTGGACAAAGTTCACGATCTCTGGCACGTACTCACTAACCCGTGTTAAGACGTCTGGAGGGAGAACCTGCCATCACAAGAGAAGGTCCTGGGTTCTTCCCTTCTCCAGGAAACCAGCAGTTCCAAACATAAGCCAAGAAGCCCCTCGTGCCCCTTGCAAAATGAAGACGGTCTGGGTCACACAAGGCCTTTGGGTAAGTAGGGGCCGCGGCCCGAGAGCAAGGACAAGAAAATCGGCGGCACTCACGTTCAGGGCTTCCATGTCTTTGTGGAATTCCTCTTCCCAGAACTTGGGCAGTTTGGAGAAAATGGAATTGTCAGTCACCTCACTGCCGTGTGTGGAATCCAGCCAGTCAGAAAGCAAATCCTTTGCTTCGTCCAACAAGACCTAAAGGAAAAGAAACGGAACATCCACACACGTTACAAAGTTTCTCGGATCACATGCCGTGCAGTCGACGTGTATCAATGCAGGCCTTGACTTCAAAGGCGCTGTGCGCAGCCCTGGCCCGTGAAGACGCAGCATCTCCCAGGAGCCGCACTGCTCACACGAGGGCCCAGACGGAGACAGATACCAGGCTCGTAAATGGCAGGTTCAGAGGCTCGGCGTGCTCAGGAGCTCCGACTGCCGTGGTCAGAGGGTCAGCAGGGGCTTGGGGAGGACGAGCCATGCAGCTGGGCCGCCACGGGGCAGGGCAGGAGTGCACACAGTGTGGTCATCCACGGCTGGGAGAGGATAGGGTGTTCGTGGGGTCTCTGACGCACACACACGAGCAGACCGTCACCAACAGCAGTGAATGGATGAATGAAGCAGAGGGTGCTTGGCCATTGTCTCCTGCTGAGTCCTGTGCTGCGCCCAGGGGTTGCTGCACCGAGCGGGTCGACAGGCCCATGCCCAGTGGAACTTGTTCTTCAGCGGGAAGACACACGTGCATTGTTTATCCATTCTTTTTTTATTTTTATTTTTTTATTTATTTTTTTTTATAAGATTTTATTTTTTTCCTTTTTTCTCCCCAAAGCCCCCCGGTACATAGTTGTGTATTCTTCGTTGTGGGTTCTTCTAGTTGTGGCATGTGGGACGCTGCCTCAGCGTGGTCTGACGAGCAGTGCCATCTCTGTGCCCAGGATTCGAACTAACGAAACACTGGGCTGCCTGCAGCGGAGCGCGCGAACTTAACCACTCGGCCACGGGGCCAGCCCCTATCCATTCTTTTTTTAAAGATGATACTACATGAGGTAAAAACTGATATACGGGAGAAATAGATGAGTCCACTGTCACAGTTGGAGACTTCCACACCCCTCTATCAGAAATGGACAGAACCAGCAGGCAGAAAATCAATAAGGACATAGTCGAACTCAAAAACACCATCAACCAACTGAATATAATTGATATCTATATACTACTTCATCCAACAACAGGCAGAATACACATTCTTCTCAAGCTCACGTGGAATATTCACCAAGACAGACCACAAGGTAGGCTATAAAACACAGCTGAACAAATTTAAAAGAACAGAAATCATACAGTGTCTGCCATCAGATCACAGTGGAAATAAACTAGAAGTCAATAACAGAAAGATAACTGGAAAATCCCAAAATATATGGAGATTAAACAACACACTTCTAAATAACACATGGGTCAAAAAAGACATCTCAAGAAAAATTTAAAAATATTTTGAATAAATCAAAATGAAAACACAACTTATCAAAATTGTGGGATGCAGGGGTCGGCCTGGTGGTGCAGCGGGTAAGTTCACACGTTCTGCTTCAGTGGCCCGAGGTTCACAGGTTCACATCCTGGGTGTGGACCTATGCACTGCTTGTGAAGCCACACTGTGGCAGGCTTCCCACATATAAAGTAAAGGAAGACGGGCACGGATGTTAGCTCAGGGCCAGTCTTCCTCAGCAAAAAGAGGAGGATTGGTGGCAGATGTTAGCTCAGGGCTGATCTTCCCCCCACCCCCCAAAATGTTGAGGGATGCAGCAAAAGCAGTGCTTAGAGGAAATTTATAGCATTGAATGCATACACTACAGAAAAGAAGATTTAAAATCAATTATGTAAGTTTCTACCTTAGGAAACTAGAAAAAGAACAAATAACTCCAAAGTCAGCAGATGGAAAACAATAATAAAAATTAAAGTAGAAAACACAAATCAATAGAGAAAATGAACAAAACCAAAAGCTGTTTCTTCAAAAAGATCAATAAAATTGAAAAAAGAAAGAGGACACAAATACCAAGATGAGAAATGAAAGAGGGGCTATCACTACAGATCCCACGGAAATTAAAAGGATAATAAAGGAATACTGCAAACAACTCTCTGCCCCAAAATGTGATAACCTAGATTAATGGACCACTTCTTTGAAACACATAAGCTGCCAAAACTCACACAAGGTAATACAGATGATCTAATAAGCCCGTATCTATTAAAGGGACTGGGTAAATAATGAATAACCTTCCAAAATAGAAAGCACCAGGCCCGACGGGTTCACTGGTGAATTCTACCAAACATTTAAGAAATCCTATCAGTCTCTTTCAGAAGACAGGGGAAGACAGAATACTTCCTAATTCATTCCATGAGAAGGAAAACATTATCCTAATACCAAAACCACACAAAGACATTACAAGAAAAGGAAACTATAGACCATATCTCTCATGAACACAATGCAAAAATCCTTAACAAAATATTAGCAAATTGAATGCACAACAGTATAAAAAAAATTATATACCATGATCAAGTGGGATTTATCAAAAGTACGCAAGGTTGGCTCCGCACTATAAAATCAATTATTATAAATCTTCATATCAACAGACTAAAAAAGAAAAATGCCGTGATCATATTAATAGATGCAGAAAACGCATTTGACAAAGTCCAATACCCATTCATGATAAAAACTCTCAGAAAACTAGGAATGGAGGGGAACTTCCTCAACTTGATAAAGAACATCTACAAAAAACCTATGGCTACCACCACACTTCACAGTGAGAAACTAGAAGCTTTCCCACTAAGACCAAGTACAATGCACGAATGTCCCCTCTCACTACTCCATTTCAACATCATACTGGAAGACAAGGAAAGAAAATAAAAGGTATACTGATTGGGAAGCATGACATACAACTATCTGTCACCAAATAACAAGTGGAATTTGAAATTAAAAACACAATATCATTTACATTAGCAACCCCAAAATGAAATACTTAGGTATAAATCTAAAAGAATATGTACAAGATCTATATGAGGAAAACAACAAAACTCTGACGAAAAAGAATCAAAGAAGAACTAAGCCACTGGAAAGACATTCCACGTTTGCGTTCTTCCCAACTTGATCTATAGATTCAGCGCAATCCCAATCAAAATTCCAGTAAGTGATTTTTGTCGATATCAACAAACTGATCCTAAAGTTTATTTGGAGAGGCAAAAGACCCAGAACAGTCAGCAAACAGTGAAGAAGAACACAGATGGGGGACTGACACTACCCGACCTCAGACTCATTATAAAGCTACAGTGATCAGGACAGCGTGGCATTAGCAAAAGAACGGACAAATAGATCAATGGAACAGAATGCGGAGCTCAGAAACAGACTCACATAAATACAGTCCACTGATCTCGACAAAGGAGCAAAGGCAATAAAATGGAGAAAAAAATAGTCTTTTCAACAAATGGTGCTGAAACAAGTGGATGTTCATATGCAAAAAGATGAATCTAGACACAAATCTTACACGCTTCACAAAAAGTGACTCAAAATGGACGACAGATATAAATGTAAAATGCAAAACTCCTAGAAGATAACATAGGAGAAAATCTAGATGACCTTGGGTTTGGCAATGATTTCACAGATACACACACCAAAGGCACAATCTCTGGAAGTAAAAATTGATAAGCTGGACATCACTAAAGTTAAAAATTCTTGCTCTGGGAAAGACACTGTTAAGAGAATGAAAAGACAAACCACAGATTGGGAGAAAACGTTTGTAAAAAACACAGCTGATAAAAGACTGTTATCCAAAATACACAAAGAACTCTTAAGACCCAACAATACCCACCATCCAACCTGATTGCAAAAGCGGCCAAAAACACAAACACATGAAATGATGTTCAACTTGACTAATCATCAGGGAAATGCAAATCAAAACCACACTAAGATGCCACCTTATGCCTGTTAAAATGGCTATAATCACTAAGACTAACAATAATAAATGTTGGAGAGGGTGTGGAGAGAAGGGAACCCTCATACACTGCTGGTGGGAGTGCAAACTGGTGCAGCCACTATGGAAAATACTATGGAGATTCCTCAAAACACTAAACACAGAGCTACCATACAACCCAGCTATCCCACTACTGGGTGTCTACCCAAACAACGTGAAATCAACAATCCAAAGTAACACATGCACCCCTGTGTTCATTCCAGAACTATTCACAGTAGCCAAGACACGGAAGCAACCCAAGTGCCCATCAACCGATGAGTGGATACAGAAGATGTGGTGGACATACTACTCAGCCATGAAAAAGAAAAAACCTTCCCATTTGCAACAACTTGGACGGACCTGGAGGGAATTATGCTGAGCGAAATAAGCCAGACTGAGAAAGACAAACACCAGATGACTTCACTCATGTGTGGAATTTGAACAAGCACATGGACAAAGAAAACAGTTCAGTGGTTACCAGGGGAAGCGGGGTGGGCACGGGGGGGGGAGGGGAGCACTTATGTGGTGACAGACAAGAAATAATGGACAGGGGTCGGCCTGGTAGCACATCGGTTAAGTGCGCACTTTTCGCTTTGGCGGCCTGGGGTTCACTGGTTCAGATGCCAGGTGTGGACATGGCACCGCGTGGCACACCATGCTGTGGTAGGCGTCCCACATATAAAGTCAAGGACAATGGGCACGAGCAATGGGCACGTGCTCTCCTTCTGACTCGGAAGTTGGGGTTCACGCCAGGCAGGGGCGCTTACACGACAGAGCCCAGTAACGCCTTGGGTGCTGAGGCTCTGAGGGGCTCCCCGAGCAGAAACACTTCGCCCGAGCAGCTGCAGTGTTCCTGGTGGGGAGAGTGCTCGGGCCCCTCAGGGGAGGGAGGAAGGCGGCTTCAGAAGCTGGCCATGGGTTCCTCCAGACTCCCCCCGGGCCTTCCTCCCCCGCCGCGCCCCTGTGATCAAACTTCCGTCTCTTCCATCTCTTCCATCTCTGCTGCGTCCTATGAATCCTTCCGGAGAATCACGGAACGTGCGAGAGGTGTTGGGGACCCCCAACGGTTACACAGCCCCTACAGCTCAGCAATTTCACCCTCAGGTGGACAGCCCAAAGAAACTCTTGTAAACGTGCACCCACAGACAAACAGAACACAACTCCCAGCTCACGAAAAGACGCTGAACAGCACTGGTGCTTAGGGAAGGGCAAAGCAAAACCACAGTGAGGTACCGCCTCCCACCCATCACGATGGCTACCATCGGTGAAACAAAGTAACAGGTGTTGGCGAGGACGGGGAGAAACCAGGAGCCTCATGCTGCTGTGGGGAACAGTATAGCGGGTCCTCAGAACATTAAAAAAGAATTACCACGTGAGCCGGGAATCCCTCTGCTGGATCTATCCCAGAAAGAAGTGAAAGCAGGGACCCAAACAGAAATCTGCACACCCATGTTCACAGCAGCATTAGTCACAACAGCCAGAAGGTGGAGACAAGCCAGGTGTCCATCGATGGATGAATGGATACACAAAATACCGTATATATACACCACGGAACATTATTCAGTCTCAAAAACGGAAATTCTGGCGCATGCTACAACATGGACGAACCTCGAGGACATCCTGCTGAGTGAAATAAGCTAGTCACAAAAGGACAAACACTGTAGGATTCCACTTATATGAGGTCCCTAGAGGAGTCATATTCACAGAGTCAAAAAGTGGGATGACGGGCGCCGGGGGCTGGGGGAGGGGCAATGGGGAGCTGGTGTTCAGTGGGGACAGGGCTTCCGTTTGGGAAGGTGAACAAATGTCTGGAGATGGACGGAGGTGACGGTTGCACAGCAATGAGGCTGTGCTTCCTGCCAATGAACTGGGCACTTAAACATGGTTAAGACGGTAAATCTTACATTACACATATTTTACCACAATTTTTTAAAAAAGGATATTAGTGGGACAATTGGGAAAAAATTCACGGCAGCATTGTTGCTGACAAGGAACCGGCTCTGCTGTCCCAGAGGAAGGGATGAGGCGTCCACTGAGTAAGGACAGGCCCACCTCGGAAGCACATCCAAGAGGGCTCGTCCCCAAGACCACGAAGGCCTGTGTGCTTTTCACAAGCTCAGAACAAGCACGGCCTAGCGATCCGTTGTGTGGGGCCACAGAGGAGCAACACTGAAGCCGGGCGGGCCCCCGTGTGCGAGTTTCCTCATGCAGATTGTGACTTACAGCCCCTTCACCGCATGGTTTCTGCAGGTTTCTTGTCTCCATGGAGTTCTGAAGATGGTGACCAGCAGGGGGCGCCGGCGGGAAGGAGAAGGGCCATGGCCACCTTCCCACCAGCAGGGGAGGGCAACGCGGGGAGGCCAGACTGCGGGGCAGTCCTGTGTGGCACTCAGGCAGGGAGAGGCCCCGAGAGGGCGCGGGCCCCTTCGTATGAAGTGCCCCAAATCTGTCTGAAGGAAGGCCTTTCACAGAGGGAGAAGAGTGGCCCAGGGGAAGGCCCTGAGTTCAGCAGGGGCCCCAGGCCCCGCAGCTCATTTCCACTTCAATCTCTCGCTCCTCCTTCTCCAGGAGCTGCACTGAGAACCATCAGCGGCGAGCCCACCGACAATCCTGGAATTATTTCGAGAGAAGGCTGCTCCCCCAGGCATGCCAAGTGCGCCTCCTATTTATCTGGGGGACGTGGTGGGAAGGAGTGGGAGCAGGGGCAGGAGGATGTGGGACAGCAGAGTGGCCCGGCCCAGGGTGCTGGGTGCTAACACAGCCCCACGTCTGCGTGCAGGGAGCCCCTTCCATGCACAGGGCTGGCCCGACTCACTCCAAACCTCACCTCCACGTGGCTGCTGAGCTCCTCCTCTCCAGCGAGGTCACGCCGCACCGCTTCCTCCAGCGGTTCTGCGGCTAGCTTCACCGCGTGCTGAATGCGTTCAAGCATCTGCTTTTTGTCGGGATCCGTGGTCTCACTGAGTTTACCGAAAACGGCTACAAGCGTGAGGAGAAGGCAAGGCTGTCAGACACTGCCCAGCAGACCCTGCCCTCAAAGGCTACTCAGCGCAGCAGAGACCAGGGCTTCCCACTGCCTGCGGCCACTAGGAAGTGTGTCCTTGAGAGTGTCCTCCTAGCTCTCCCCAAGCGGCAGGACGGTAGCAGAGACCCTGCTGCCCGGCCCAGGAAGCCCCCTGCTGCTGCCTCCTCACACCACCCCGGGCAGGGCGCCCCACCTCCCTCTCTCTGACGGACAGTGGCTGTGAGAGCAGCACTCCTAAGACTACGCTAGGGACGACACGAGGTGTCATCTACGGACCTCGAGAGGTGCCACCGGCCACCTCTGTCACAAAGGCGCCCACAGCCTACTGGGCCCTCACCTCGTTGGCAGAAAAGATTGCTAAGCTCTAATTTTATTCCTATTCTTTCAGAGATAAAGCGGTATAAGCACACCAGTAATTATTACTGTAATTACTGAGGAGAATAAAATGACTTGCTCTATTTGACTATGGAATATTATAATTTGTAATACTGTTTATTCCAAATTAAAATATTAAATTAGCAAGAATTAATTTCGTCAAATAACTCTGAAAATTTCCAGTATTACAAATTTAAGAAGCTGGCACGGCTTCTGCATCTCAGTCAAAAGAGATCTGACTTGGTTGTGACCTCAGGTGGAAGATTTGATAGCAATGTTAGGAGCCTTTGACAGGTAAGTGTAGCGTAGCGGCACGGTGACGAGTCCTGACATTTTCCCATGAGTGGCAGGAACAGTCCCCTAATCCACTCCCCCGGCCATGCGTTTCTCTCCTGGCGACTTGGCCCAAGGGCCCACATCAGTCAAGACTTCAGTGAGCCCTGATGGAACTGGCTTGGGTGCCGTATACTTTATGAGGCCTGCTGAGGGCAGCCACTACTCTAGGCACAGTGATGAGGAATGGCCGAGGGCCGAGGGCCGAGACCAGGAATCAGGGAGCAGGCAGCGACGGGCCCACCTTCAGGGCGGCGTGAACATCCTCCAGGAGCTGCGCTGCCCGGGGCCTCTTCTCCCGGTACTGCTCAAACAAGTAGTTCTGCCGGGCCCTCTTGATGATCTGGAAAGAGAAAAGGCAACACGTGGCTTGTGCGCAGAGCCTGCTTCAATCTCTGTGCAGCAGGTGGACTCTGAGCGAGGGGCAGCCGTGGGCCCCGGCCGTGCACAGCCTGGGGGAACATCATCGCCCTCCATCACCCGACTGCCCAGCGGTGCCCAAGGGCCACACCTCCTGGTGCAGAGACTGCTCCACAGTCACCTTTCCGACGTGGAGGACACAGGCCGGCCCCACCTTCCCACGCAGTGCCACACACAAAACCATGTGCTTCCTTCCGTGAAGCACCACGGAGCATTAACATTTAGCCAACCTGGGCCCTGAACATGCAGGTTTCAAAAAGCATCTAAACATCTAAATGCAAGAGAACACCATTTGCATAAACTGAGATACCAGCTGATTGAGGGGGTTCAAATAATGTTTACCAGTCAAGACCTGAGCTCGTTCAAGCCCACCTTCTTTTATCGACACATCCAAAAGTCTTTTCTGCCTTCGTAACATCCATTGTTTCTGAAATTTCATCTTGCAAGCTCCCCTTACCTTATCGTCAATGTCTGTGATGTTCATGCAGTAGAAGACGTCGAATTTGAAGTAATCCCTCAGCACTCGTCTCAGGATGTCGAAAGAGATATAGGACCTGCAGCAACGAAAAGACAGGCATTTGCAAACTGCACACTCGGCGCATCATCTCGGCATCGCAATGAAGACATGAACAAGGGAAAGGAGGCCGTGGCATTTCCCCCACAGCCAGCTGCCCTTACACACGGTACCCCGAGACCACCACGGGGTCAGCATCCACTAGGCCCCAGGTCTGAGTGTCTGGGAAACATCCCCCCCGAGCTTCAGGGTGAGGAAAACTTTAAGGCACACGGAAAAAAGCGTGTGGGTACAGTCCAAGAGATCAACAGTGGGGCTGCGGGGCGCTGTCCTTATTGGCTGTCAGTATTCTCTAAGTTTTCTACAGAGAATATGGCTTCTTATGAAATGAAAATGTCTATCTTCAAATCAAGAGAAAGAAGTCCAGGGTGGATTTTCCCATCAAGCCTCAGGAGCTGAGCTGCTCCCCGGGGCCCCGCACGTGTGCAGCCCCAGCAGCAGGCCCTACCTGGCGTGCCCCATGTGAGAGGCGTCGTAGACGGTCGGCCCACAGCAGTACCACGTCACCTTCTTCCCACTTTGAGGTATAAACACGTCCTTAGTGAGAAGCAGAAGAACGACAGTTACAAGAAGGGTGAGGCGTCGCGCAGGAACACCCCAACCAGCCGCGAGGAGAACCCTGAGGTCTGTCGGTTCATAGACGATTTAGCAAGGGCCGTTTTGTTTTACTAAAAGAAGTCACAAAGTCTCAGCACGGGGGGCAATCGGACTCTCGAGGCCAGGTTCCCGAGGATGAGGAGGCCCTCTTCCTCCCTGGCTCCCACCCCTCAGGGGGGCTGGAGGTGGAGGAAACGCATGGGCCACTTTGTTGGAAAGCTGCCTCGTTAGCAGCAGCAGCAGCCGCACTGAGGGAGCGCCTAGGCCGGGCCCGCCCTGCGCCGAGCACTTAGACTGACCTACACCTGCTCCTAGAAACAGTGAGAGCAGGTGGGCGCTGCGCTCTTCCTTTCACAGATGAAGACACAGGTCTCGAGCAGCTGCCCAGCGTCCGCGCTCCTGGAGGAGCCTGGCGTAGAGGCAAGGACCGCTGGATCCAAGCGCTCTTTGCAACTGCTCTGCACGCCGACACTGTCGGATCAATTCAGGGGCCGCCGGCATCAACCCAGCCCATGAAGGACACCCTGTCTCCCGTCTGCTAAGTGTGCTTGCTGATGGACACGCAATCAGCCCACGGCCAGAGCCCTTTTCAGAATCTCTGGAGCCACGGGCCACGCTGAGCAGAACCAACCAAGCAAACCCCACTCAAAGTCTTCTCGAAACCTGCTCAGCTCCCAGCAACACTGGACAGGTCCACTGTGTTGCTACTTCTGCTTGGCTTGTACTGTGATGTCTGCTGCTGCCACGTGTCCTCTCCGAGAGCATGCCAATACTTGGCTCGGCTCTGAATGACCCCGAGCATTTACACTTGGGCAGGGCTCAAAAGCCTACTCTGGGTGCTCCATGCCCAGAAGCCAATGGGCAGGCTTCCCAGCGAGGTATAACATGAGTGTGTCAAGTTTCAGAGGACAGCTCCTCGTCAGGCCACACAGAGAGTCCACGTGAGGAGCTCAAGGATCCCACACCTGGATTGCGGGCACTCCAGGGCAGGCCACCGTGAGGCACAGACAACACCTGTGTGTTTTGAAAGGGCACCTTGGGCCCCGACAGAGCCGTGTCTGCCCCGCCCCCATGGGATCCCTCCTCACCTTGTTCCGGGTGAGGCTGTTGTAAAGGCGGAGCCTGCACGGCTCGGACCCGGCCGGAGGAGACCACTGAGGCTGCACCCGCCGGCCTTTACCTGCGAGGGCAGAGAGAGCGGCCAGGTCACAGGAAATGCAAGTCACACTGCGTGTTTGCTTTTACAACAGAAATCTTGTTTTCAGCAAAATGTGAAACAACATTAACATGAATCTCTGTCAGCATCACCCAGTCAAATGCAACTGCTTCCCTGTTTTGCTGTGCTCCATTCTGCGCGGCAGGGATCCCACGACAACCCCCAACCCCAGCACGGCGGGAGAACGCCTCCACGACGTGTCCACGCCCATCACATCCCACTGGGCTTCAAACATGGGCCCGCCTGCTCGCTCCGTGTGCACAGCGTCCGACACAGCTCATGGGTCACGAGGAGGCGCTTGTGGGTCAGTCTGTGCTAACTGAAAAGGTGATTATTTGCACCTCATGGGTGTCTGGTGACATTCCAACCACTCCCAAGGCTCTGCTCCTGTGCCCCGAACCCAGCTGTTCCCTTTAGTCCTCGCACCAGAGCTGGCTTTGTGGCGCACTCCACTGTGCACACCTGCAGGCACGGCTGCTGCCCCAGGCCCGCCCCAGGACGGGCCCACGAGGTGGAGGCCTCGGCAAGGCCTGTGTCCCTGGCGCACTGAGCTGCCCTCTGTGTGTCCACTCCCCTCTCCGCCCCTCTCTGCAGAGGGCTTCTCCCTCATGCCAGACGGTTTGACGACAGGTGAGACCCTGCACAGCCTCCTTGAATCGATGACAAATGCAGCCAACAGATCACTACACGCTGCTTCCCACCGGAGTCACAGAGTAGTCAGTCCTGGGCTCCGCCATTCACCCAAGGTCTTGTCCACCAGACAGAGGATGTGCGTAACGGACAGGCGAAGGGGAGAGGAGGAAGGCAGCTGCTGTGTGTGCGTGCGTGCGTGTGCCCTGTGTGTGTGCCTGCAACAGCCTGCCAGCAAGGAGAGGAGCAGACGAATGGGGAGGGAGGGAGACAGATAGACAGCGCTCAACAGGAGCTCTTATTCGAGCTAAGTGCCAGCAAACTCACAGGTTCTCCCACTGGGAAAAGTCCGAATCCTCACGCAAACACCAGATGCTGACTAAGGGTCACCCTAAATGCAGCCAACGCCCTCGAAGGGAACTCTCAGTCCACGGTGAGGTGACGGTCAATCTGCCACTTCAGGACTCCGTCAACCCCCTCCCTCGCTCAGACCCTGGAACTCCACCCGGGATGACTGGGGATGCTGGCCAGAGTCGCCCCACACACTGAGGTGAACCAGACGACCATCAGCGACCGTCCTGCTCAGCACCAAGGGCTCGGGCATCAGAGGACCGAAGGCCCATTGGAGAAGACTTGAGACGGCTGGTGACAGGACACAGCTGGCCCAGACCCTGGCCAGCGGGACACTGTCCTGGACACTGGGTCACACTCAGGCTTTCTAGCTCCCCAAAGGGCTGCTACTGCCACACGGCTGGTGACAGGTTCAGGGAAGTTTGGCATATACAAAGTCTATTTGCCTAAGGGAAAAACTGGGAAATACTGGACAGGGACTTTTGATTTAATACGAAGACATTTTCACTAGCGTTCCCTTACATAATTAATGGTCCCCTGCCACGGAGGGCAGAGAAAGCACTTTCATAGGGACATAGGGCTGTCGGCCACAAAGGAGAGAGAAGCACGAACGCTTATATTCCCACACGCATGGCCTCAGCATCCGACGGCCCCGTGCCTGCCGGGTATTCTCAGGGAAGAGCACACATCCTGGGGGGATGGATGTGGCGGGTGGCAGAGGGGTCCTGGGAGGAAGGCCGTCGGCTGGGAGCCCTGCTCTGGATGAGGGGCGCTCCAGACACAGACACAGCAAAGATGGGGCCTTGAGTGGAGCGGACCTGCCATGCTGGCGCCGCAGAGAGGAGGCGATGAGACGGAGATGGGGTAGCAGAAGAAAGAGAGAGGCAGGGAAGGGGCTTAGGCAGAGCTATGGCCTGACCTCCCATGTCTCAGAGGGTCCCTTGGGCTGCTGGGGCCCATGGCCAAGAGGAGAGGACATGGAGGGCACGAAGGTGGCACAGGGACATAGACTGGGGGTCAGCAGAGGGAACGGGGACCAGCTATGACACCTGGTGCTGACCGGATGCCCAGCAGGGACGGAACCTCCAGCAGGAACAGGGACTCGGAGGGAAGGCAGATGGGGTGCTGCGGAGAGAGGGGCTGGAAGAGGTGGTGCTCCCGCCCAGGACAGGCCTTCAGAGATGTCTGAGATGGGCAGCTGCTCCGGTCCTGGCGGCAATGTGGGGAGGCGGATGCTCGGCTCCTGCCATTCCAGGCAGTAGATGAGGATGTCGGACTCCGAGGGCTCTGGGACCTGCTGGAGGCCACAGGCTGACAGGCAGCAGGGCTGGACCCCAGCCCTGTCTTGCAGGCCAGCCGACCTAACACATGCCATCCCCTGGGCACATAGGTCCCTGGTGGACTCCTGCATGGCCTCGGTGACAAAGTGACTTGGAAATGATAGGAGGCAGGACAATCCTATGCATGCCGTCCAGGGTGCCTCCTCCACCCGCCTCTGAGTCAGCCTAGAGCCGCCTCCCTCATTAGCCGGGCCACGCCTTGCCTCGAGTGGCAGACTCTTTCTTATCTCATGATGCTTAAGAGGACATGTGTCTACATCAGTCTTTCAACAAGTTCCCTGCATGGAAGACCAGACAGGCTTCTGGCGAGGTGGGGAGCCCCAGATTCTCCCTGATCTCGGCCTCCGAAGGCTGTGCCATGGGAGCTGGGGCCTGAGGGTCAACCTGATACCTGAGCCTTTCAGAGACAACATGCCTGACACCAAGAAGTCACCTCGGTCACTGCACCGGACCCACAGACCAATGCTCCCACCCTAGCTGCAATCCTGTTTACTGCAGGATTACCCAGAAAACCAAATACACCCTTCTCTCAGAGAAAAGACACCCCACGAACAGCTGCTCACGCAGGGGGATCAGTGGACCCGACCAGCAGTACAGGCATTGTGGAATGTTCCAAATGCCGCACTTGCAGAAGTCTGGAAAGCCCCCAGGGGGGCACCTAGCCCAGCAGGGACCACCAGAGACAGCATGTGGCCCACCCCACTGTGAAGGTGGGGGGTGCTCAAAGCCGCGGTGGGACTGAGCTGCTCAAGGGCATCGAGGCCGTTACGGGACGAAGGACCCCTGGATGACACATCAGAGGAGAAAGAGAGCCCACATGTGAACTGAGCCCAGAGACTCTCCAGAAGCTCCCCCAAAATGACAGGGGCCGCGCTAGTATGGACACCCCAGCAGTCACAGGATGGAACCACAGCCACGCAACTGATTCCACCTCCAAGCCGAGAAATGGTTCACGGCTGACGTTCAGAAGTTCAATGTCAATCAATCCTGCTTTAGGACTTAACACTTCCACATCTGAGGGACAAACCACGGCAATAGACGGACAGAATACACAAACAGAGCCATGTCACATCGAGCCAGGCAGGAGCTGGAGGAAACGCCAAGGCCGGAGCCCTCGGCTCAGCCCTGCTGGACCCCCAGGCGGCATGCGCCCCCCACAGCTCCGCTACAGCAACCGCGGGGGTCCTGGTCCTGCAGAGTCAACTTCTCGGCGTGTTTTATCCTAACCTCTAGCAGGGAGCGCTGGTCGGCCCACCAGTCCACTTGCTTGCACCTGGTGACAGGAGCCAGCCCGTGGGCTCCTCCAGGGCACTGCTGCCAACCAGCACCGAGCATCCATGGGGCAATGGAGAAAGGTCCTGACCTGGGAGGGGGCCGCCGACGGGAGAGCTCCTAACGGCTGGGGAGGCCGCTCTGCTACTCACTTGTTTGGAGCCCACAGGGCTCGCCTCTGCTGCAGGGGCCGCCCAGGATCGCTTCTATGTGCCTGAACCAGCGAGCCACATGGAAGAGCCGAGCATCAGCGGGAGGGGCCGCGAGCTGACTGAACACGTCCACGTCTGCCTGGGACAGCGAGTGCCCCTGCACATAGCTACGCGTGCTGAGGTGCTCGTTCAGGGCCTGCACTCTGGCTGCCTCGTCACTAATGCTCAGGATGGACCTGTAGTCGGGAGCTGCAAAGACAGAGGCCCCCGATGTCAGTCAGGGGACAGAGGCCTCGGGCGAGAGTCCACAAAGATGGGGCGCCTGGGTGTCAACCCTGAAACGTCCACCGAGACAGAACGCAGACAAGCGGCTGCCTGGGGCTGGGCACGGGGAAATGGGGTTTTCAGTGTGGGGAGATGAAAATGTTCTGGAACCGGATAGAGCTGTGGTTGCACCACATTGCAAATGCACTAAATGCCACTCAATCATTGTCCACTTTAAAACAGTAATTTCACCTCAATTAAAGAAAAACTCAAAATAAACAAACACGTACACAGCCCCTTTTCTGCAGTGGCACACCTCTCGTCCGGGCCTCGGGAGGGACAACGAGGGTGGGCGAGGATGCAGAAGTCTCGGCCCTAAGGACGCGGTCCAGACCCCTGCTCTAGCAAGGCTTCTAGCAGCCGAAGGCTGTGCCCTAGGAGGACGGCAGCCACCTGACACGCCTGCCTGAGAGAGCTCGAGCCAGCAGCTGACCACATGCCTGGCCCTCCCTCTCAGAGCGATGACTGAAAAGGCTGACAACTGTGACTCCATGTATCCCAGAACCCACGAGCATCTCCCTCAGCGACCCGAAGCCCATCCCTCTGAGAGGGGATCTTCAGGAAGGGTGGGCCCCTCTCCCATCTGTGGGAGGACAGACTCCTAACTCCAATAATCACCAGCTAGTGGACACGGCTGGCCCAAGGCCCTGACCTCACCACCCTTTGTGACTTTCATCTCCCTGACTGTACTGGGTCCCGCTCGCCCCTCCCCTGCCCTCTCCCTCCTTCCCCCTTTACTGCGCCCCGGGGCCCTCGCCCCAGCCTCTGCACAAATCCGGCCCAGCTCAGCTCTTCCTGCCTTCGGTCACTGAGTAAAACCTGCTGTCACTGCTTTAACAAATGGCCGGGTGGGTGCATCTTTGGCCAGGGGGGCACAGACGCAGCCCCCCACAAAAGCAGGGAGGCAGAGGCAATTTGGGTGGCACCAGGCCCTCGTCTGCGGGAAGGAGGTTGGTCCCTGAGCCCACAAGCCTGAGCCGCATCCAAGCCTCACCCCCCACTGATTTTGGTTTTATTTTCTGAGGGGACTGTGGAAAAAGGACCAGGGCTTCTTCCCCTCCACACAGAAGCCCCTTCGGCCCAGGAGTCAGCTCAGAGGGGGAAAGGACAGGCCCGTCCCCTCTCGCTTTGCCAGGCACAGCCTTCTTCCTGGGCACAGGGCAGACACCCCGACGCCTGAGCCCAGAGTGAGCTGCCTGACACCACGAGGTCACTAGGTCATCATGTAGGACCCATGGCAGGGACGGCTCTGGATGGGGAGGAGACCCGGACCTACACAGCCATGTGCCCACCTCTGACCTCTTCCTCCCTATCTCCGTTTACCTGCCCAGCACAGGAACAGGAAAATCACCCCAAACAAGCCCACACAACTCCTGAAAACAGACGGCAGAGCATGTGGGGGGAGCAGCTGCATACACAGACGCCTTTCTGCACCTGCTTCCACTACAGGGAAGCCCCACTTGGGTCCTGCCCACACGACCTCCCGGACTCGCTGGGGTCAGCAAGGATGAGCAGGAACCCACTAATAGGAGGACGGAAGCCTGCAGCATTTTCCAAGCTGCTGCAACGTGAACCACCCCAACGGTCCCAGGGCGCCCCAGGGGAGCGGTACGGTGACTCCCCAGGGCCCAGTCTCCAGGGACACTGGCTTCCCAGGCATGTCCCGAATCCTGACCTCTTCACCTATAGGAAAGGTGTCAGCAACAACAGGAAAAATCTTCCCTGAGCTCTCAAATGGATGCTGAGCTTCAGACAAGGCTTTCCAGAAACACCGCCTGCTCCTCCCGACTGCACCCCAGGAAGGTTCCAGCACAGAGGCCTGTCTCATCCGATGCCAATAGGACGGTCGCACATTCCATGTGGCCACGAGGGGCCACTGCTTCGCACATCCTTCCATCTCAACTGGAGTCACGCTCCTGCACAAATTATCCTCAGGAACCCCCACAGCCAACCAACGGCACAGTTCAGGGACTCCACTTTCAACCGGATCCCCGTGGTTGCCACGGCAAGGGCCCAGCCCCTCTCTCACCCGAATCCCTCGCTGCAGGCCGCTCCACAGGCATCCTGGCTTTGCACAACACAGCGGCCCTGCTGAGAGTGCAAGCTCACACCGCTGCCTCTCGACCCCCCACCTCACTCAACAAGACCAGGCCTTACCCAGGCCTCAGGACAGCCCCACGTGGGCCTCCAGACCTGTCTCACATCAGCTCCCGTCCCCACCTCACGCACCCCACTCTAGCCACACGGGTCCCTGCTCACCCCACAGGAGCCTGCTCTGCTCCCTTTGCAGGGTCTCTTGTCCCACCGTCCCTGCCAGGAACGCTCCCGCAGACGGGGCCAGGCTCCCTCCCTTCCTCAGGCTCCGCTCAGTGTCCCCTTCTCCAGGAGGCCTTCCCAGACACTGTTCCAAATGACCACCCGCCCCCGGAGTCCCACCCCTTCCTGCTTTCCTTCTCCAGAGCACTTATTTCTAACTTCCACTCCTTCTGTCTGTCCTTTACTGTCTTCCCTGTTTCCAGTCATTCTGCGCTGCTTTATTTCCTCAGCAGACATACTCGGCATCTAGAACTGAGCCTGGAACATTCTAGACACTCGATAAATCTGCAGAATAAATGAATGAGCGAGCAGCAGAGTGCATCTCAAAGTGCAGTACGGCCTGTGGTGGGCTGGGCTGCAGCTGTCATTCTGGGGCCTCGGCCGGCGAGTCTAGAGCAGCTTCTGAGGCCCAATGGCTTGCTCAGCGGGAGCCCTGCTGCCCCAAGGTGCACACCTCCAGGGGGTGCTGCTTCTGCTTCGCGCCAGCCCTGCAAGGAGAACAAGCCACTTTGCACTTGGGGCCTTGGAACTGTCCAAGGAAGCAAAGGGACACAGAGGCGGACGCCTCCCTGCTGCAGGTGCCAGCAGGGTCCCAGGGCCCACGAGGGCCCTTGAGTAGCTGCCGCCCCAGCTCTCCTGCCCTCTCCTGAGCAGGAGGCTCTAAGTCCCAGCCCGAGGGCTGTCGGGAGCAGCCCCCATCCTCACAGGCCCCGTGTCCGCGTCTGACACAGAGAAGGAAGTTCCAGGCAGATCTGTGTCTCCCACTCTTCTACGGAGGGGGCCTGTCCTCATGACCCCCGCCTCACAGTCACCAAGGTCGAGACTCTGATTAGACACGCTCTCTTCCTGCTGAAGAGGAAACCCAGGGACAGGAAGGCGGCACCGACAGGGCAGTTCTGGGCACCACTAAGCCAGCACCCGGGAAAACCTAACGAAACAAATGTCAGACTTCTCGGAAGCCTTCTGCACAGCACCTTCCTTCCAGGGAACTTCTGTTTTACCCGGTGACATTCCTCCAACAGCTCAGCCGTCTGCTAGGTGGCTGCTGGCCATGCCCCTCTGTTAGGATGAAGAAAATTCAGTTCACTGAAGAGAAGTCTGAGGACCTGCCAGAGGTGTGGACAGAGCCGGGAGGTGGGAAACATCCCAGGACGGGGTGGCCGTCCTTCGGAAGCTGTTACCCCAACGCTGCCCGCTCCCAACCCTCTTTCCTATCTCCTAGCATCTTCCTCGTGCAACTATGTGTGCCAGGACCAGACACGGAGGGAGGGAGGGGAAACAAAGCAAGAGATGACAGCACCACTCTGAGAACAGCGGCCCGGCAATTTCAAGATCCTAAGCGCCCGGAAGCCCCAAATAGCAGGCAGACGGAGAGATTGTCTCCCCAAAAAACGTCTTCCAGCGAGCAAAGCAGACGGCAGGGAACTCCCCACACACTCACACTGGCTGTCTGTGTCGAGCGGGGCTCCAGGCGATTATTTCCCTCTGTTTTCTTCCCTGCCCACCTTCTACCTTATGTTATTTCTATGCTGAGAAAAAAAACGTAAAATGTTCTAACCAGCGGACGGCTTGAAAGCGCTAAGACACTAGTTGAGGGAACTGCTGGTGGGCGGGCTGCTGGGGAGGTGGCCCTGGAGGACCAGCGCCAGGCCCCCCGGCCGGCCGTCGCCTCCTGTGGGGAAACAGGCTCAGACAACACACGCCTCGTAAAGCTGTTGAGCATTAAGCAAAATTACACTTGTCAAATGTTTAAAATGCCTCCTGGCACTCAGCCAGCGCCCAATGGGTTTGCCATTACTATTATTATCATAATCACTCCCGCATTAGTGTTCTTATTATCAGATTCGCCCTGGAGGAGTTTACCCGGGGACTACACACACATGTAGAATGCGCCGTCTGGAGCAGCTCAGACCTTCATAAAGGAAGGCTGTCCTCAGGCCGGAGGGGCGGTGCCCAGGGCGCAGTGGGAGGACGGGCTTCCAGGCCCCACAGTCGCTGGGCTCACTGCAGCAGCTGCATGAAGGCCACGGAGGAAACACACGCACAGGCCAGCCGTGAAGTGGGCACGGCTTTGGGCCAGCCTGTGGTCTGACTCTCGGCCTGCGATGCCAAGGTTAGAGGAGCGCTCCCGAGCAGGGCAGGCATCTGCGACTGTGATGACCACCGTTTAGAAAGCCCAAGTCTTTACAACACGTTTCCTGAAACCACACAAACTCAAGAACCGCGTCCACATCACATGAACCGCACTCCTGACGTGAAACGGCAAGCCCCGCACGGCGCCCCCGCCCTCCCACCAGCATTTAAACCTGCTCTGGGGCTCCGCTCGCAGCAACCTGCAGTCCTCCTTCCTCCCACCTGGTAAGAACGGGAAACAGCAAAGCCTATCAGCTCTAGCCTCTGCTCTGCCTTGACTCCCTTGGGCACTGGGGCTCCCGTAAT